TAGATCCTCCTCAGTCTAAAAGAAAAATCTTGGATCATTCCTTTACATGTATCTTTAACACGAACTGATATTTAAAAAAAAAACAAAGCAAAACAAAACAAAAAACAAAGAAAAAAAACAAACAAAAAAACATTGTTTTCCTTTTAATCAACTGGTTTTTTATTTGATAAATTACAGATAGCGACTTTTGCGTGAGGTTTTGGTACAACTTATCCGATAAAGGGGCGGATCTAGAAGTCATACTGGAGCGGATATTGATGATCCCTGTTCAGCCGAGGATGCAGTTTGGAAGGGAAAACATAACGGAGTACGGAGTTTGGAGAGAAGCAAAGGTCTTCATCCACGGAATGATAGGGACAAACCTGGTAAGAAGGGTCCACTCATAATAAGACAAAAGGTCAAAGGTCTTCATCCACGGAATGATGGGCACAAACCTGGCAAGAAGGTCCACTCCTAAAATAGAGGACAGATGGGTCTACACAGAAAACAGAAGACAAAGGGGTTTTCTCTGAAGATAACGAACAGTAATCAAGATCAAAAGTCCATTGGAACAAAACAAATCTGGAGCAGATTAAACACGGACCACTTAAAACATCAGACGTGGGATCAGGTGTCATGGAGGAGTGAGCAATAATAAATATAATATTAACGATGAGTCTACAAAAAAGATAAGAACAAAAGATATGCCAAGAAATAAAATTAAAAAAACAAACAGATAAAATAAAAGGACAGATGGGTCTACAAATGAAAATAAACACAACTCTCACATTTTTATCCTTCATTATCACCCCTTGATGGAAGGAGTGGGGAGGTTAATGGTCCTTTATTTGAAGATTTCTGTTTACTCAAGAATGCTTTGTGCCAAATGTTTGGTTGTATTTTGTCCAGTAGTTCTGAAGAAGTCGAAAATGCAAAAAGTTTACCGCCAATTAACGGACACATTTACTGGACTTTCTTCGATCAGAAAGCTCACATAAGCATTTGACTCAAATAATAAAGAAATAATTAGGTTTTTGATAGCATATGGATAGGTATAAGTATAAAATTTGAAATATATGGAAAGGGTATGAAAACTTTTGTATGAACAGGCTTTTACCCAAAAATCTGTAAAGACAGCAAGGTTTCATTACAATCTCCTACTAAATGTATTTGATACTTTAATTATTTTATTAATTATTTGGATAGATAATTAGAGGCTCCACCAGCAGCAGTACCAAGTATCTGGCACTGGACCAAATCAAAGTGAAAAGGAGCACCTGTGACGACATCGGGCTGTGAATCGACGAGAAAGACAAACATGAATTCCTAACTCAATATTCTCTGCAGTTTCTTTTTCGTACAACTCTGTTGAGCATGTCACACTCAATAGTAACCGGTAGACAGGGGATACTTACTTCTAGTCACTGACTGGTAGACAGGGGATACTTACTTCTAGACACGTGACGAGTAAACAGGGGATACTTACTTCTAGTCACGTAAACGGTAGACAGGGGATACTTACTTCTAGTCACGTGACCGGTAGACAGGGGATACTTACTTCTAGTCATGTGACCGGTAGACAGGGGAAACTTCTAGTCACGTGACCAGTAGACAGGGGATACTTACTTCTAGTCACGTGACCAGTAGACAGGGGGATACTTACTTCTAGTCACGTGACCGGTAGATAGGGATACTTACTTCTAGTCACGTGACCAGTAGACAAGGGATACTTCTCGTCACGTGACCAGTAGACAGGGGATAATTTCTTCTAGTCACGTGATATCACCTCTTGTGTTTCCAGGAGTACGTGTTGTGACCCGTTAACCATTTCTTAACTGAATTTATGAGATTAATCACTGTACGTTATATTCACCCTTTACACATTAAAAACACTTTGGAAGTGTCCATTCAAAATGTTGTAGAAATGTGACATTCAGTGTTACACTTCATAGAGGAGAAAATATCTTATTTAATGTTTTAAAAATCATTTCATAATGTGTAACAAGAAAATCAAATATCTGTAAATAAGATTATCTTTGACATCATTTTAAAAACTTTTTAAAACATTTAGAATTGTTTCCTACCTAGCTAAATCAAGAAGCCCAAGGGTCTGGAATCGCTCTTCTAATAAATTGTACAACCCTAGCTGTCACTTCTATTTATCCTGATTATTTAGATAAAGCCTTGAAATTACAAAAGTAGACCACTATGATGTATGTTTTGCTTACACTCTGAGAATCAACAAAGTTTGACGATTCTTATTTACTAAAATATTAAAAAATAGCCATAAAATTCCAAAAATAGTCATTGTGACCTACTATTTGTTTAACACAAACCGAGGATCCAAATGAGTCAACTAACAAAATTTGATGATTCTAGGCTTCTTATTATTCAAAATTCTGAGATGTAACTATGAAGTTCCAAAAGTAGGTCATTGTGACCTACTTTTTAGTTAAAACAGTCTGAGGACCCAATATGCACCAAGTAAGAAAGTTTGATGAATCTAAGCCTCCTATTATCCGAAATATAGAAATATAAATGTGAAATTCAAAATAAGGTCAAGGTGATCCTACATTTTGGTTGACATACTCCGTAGATTCAAAATGCTTCATCTGACAAAGTTTGATGATATTATTCTAAGCCTCTTTTTATTTGAAATATTTAGAAATAGCCACGATATTTTAAAAGTAGGTAACAGTAACATTTTGATGGACACTCCGAAGACCCAAGATGCATCGACTGACAAAGTTTGACGATTATAAGCCTCTTAATATCCAAAATATTTTGCTCTAGCCGTGGAATTCTAAAAGTAGGTTATGGTGACCTACATTTTGATCACACTACCAGAACACAAGACTGAAAGCCACCTAGTTTCTGAAATACTTGAATAGAGTCATGACATTCCAAAAGTAGGTCACAGTGACCAACTTTTTGGTTTAAATATTCTGAGACCATAGGATGCAGGAACTGATTAGGTTTGATCATCATATGTCAGTGTTTGAAACTCACTGCAAAATTAGCCAGACATTCAGGGCTGACTGCTAGTAAAAGTTGTCAGTCCTGCCCAAGATCTACTAGCCCGGGAAAATACTTGTCTTTTTTAAATTTGTTTTTAACGATTTTGTGACTGGAACCATGCAGGTCACCATAACTTCGAAATCACGTATATGAATTTTAATTATCAAAAATTTTAACATGTCCAGCCGGGCGTCAATACATGCAAATTTGTTCGTCCGCTGCAAAATTTGTGCGTCTCGGGCGATCGGGCGCACGGTTATTTCAAACACTGCCTATGTGCATCTAAAACAACCTGCAAAATTCAACAAAAGTTCCATGGGCCACAATGCTCATCTGAGTCAATATGACCTTGTTCTTCTTTATCAGCAATTTTTTTCCTATTAATTCCTATAAGAAACTTTGACCCCTATTGTGGCCCCATCCTACCCCCGAGGATCATGATTTAAACAAATATGAATCTACACTACCTGAAGATGCTTCAATATCAATATGACTGATCAGGGCTTTGCTGTTCATCAGATTTTTCCTATATATTTCGATTTAAAACTTTGATCCCCCATTATGGCCCCACCCTATCCCCGGGGGTTCATGATTTGAGAAAACTTGAATTACACTACCTGAGGATGCTTCCACATCAATTTGACTAATCATGGCTTTGCTGTTCCTGGAAAAAAAGATTTTTAAAAAAAATAAATTCCTATACATTTCTATGTAAAACTTTGATCCCCCATTGTGACCCCATCCTACCCCCCGGGTTCATGATTTGAACAAGTTTCAATCTACACTATGTAATAAAGGTTTCACATAAGTTTTAACTTTTTGGTCCAATGGTTCTTGAGAAGAAGATATTTAAAAGAAGCTATCAAAATTTTCACTAATTATGAGTTGTCTCCCCCTGAAAAGGACGTGGCCCTTCATTTGACCAAACTTGAATTCCGTTCAATCAAGGATCCTTTGTGGCAAGTTTGGTTGAAACTGGTCCAGTGATTTTGGAGAAGATGTCGAAAATTTACAGACAGATGGATGACAGATAAAATGTGATCAGAAAAGTTCACTTGAGCTTTCAGCTCAAGTTAGCTAAAAAGTAGGTCACTGGACCTACTTTTTCCATAAATATGTTTTAAAAGTTTCAAAGTTTGACGATTCTAATGCTCCAAGTATCTGAAATAATGGACTAAAATGTTTTGAAAATTATTTGCCATTTAATGCAGAAAGTATGTCATGATGACTAACTTTTTGGTTGACACACTTAACAGACCATTAATGCATAAGCTGGCAAGTTTTAATGATCAAAGGCTTCAAAGTGTGTCAAAGATATGCATCAAAATCAATTTGAAAATGAAAACCTGCAAAAATTAAAAAGTGGGTCATGGTGACCTACTTTTAAGTTATCATGACATGAAGTCTCAAGATGCATCAACTGACGAGATTTAAAGATCCTAGTCCTTATAATGGGCAAAATATCAAAGTTTAAAAAACATAATTTTACTTTGAAGTGACCTTGAGACCATGCCGTCTTCCCCAGGGTGATACCTTGAACATTTTTTTCTACAACACATCCTCATTCTTAAGCACAAGTTTGGTGATAATCTGCCTAGTAGTTCTTGAGAAGTTGTTTTAACAACCACTACTTTCGTTTTTATTTCCCTAATTATATCCACTTATTTACTAAGGGACACAGCCTTATATTTAGTATAAATGAAAGCGTTTCTGAGATATGGCCCATATTCCAAAAAGTTGATGCACACCACATGAATGGCCATAGCATGAGCTCTTTGAGCCTTTGACTCAGAAGAGCTAAAAAACCTACCTCCTTTTTGTAAAACAATTCAAAAATGTGTCTAATGTTATATTACCATTATAATCAATACGTTTTGAAAAAGAAAAAAAAAACGTTTTACAACTGCAATAAAATGTTTTGTATTTGTAATTTCACATCTTAAAAATAAATATGTATTTCTTTTTCATCGGTAATACAAACAAATAAGGAAGAAAGCACTCTCTGAAGATTAATATTTTATTTTTAATTGTAGACAATGAACTACCAACACACAACTCTGCTGCCATGCAAATTAAGAACAATGACATTGAAAAATGAAAGATACAGAAATATTTCCTATGTATTTCAATCTATAATAAAATTTGAAGGAATTCAACATTCAGTGGACTTAATAAACTTCTGAGAATTTAAAAAACTGAAATATTTCACACTGAAAGCTTGATTTTACAACAGCTGGAGCACTATATTCCCTAGGACTATAACATCTAATATGCATTATGACACAGTATATAAATGTAATTCTTTGAGACACAATGTTTCAATGGAACCATGGGAACACGGTTTTTCTATACAGACTGATGCCTCCCCTTCAGTTACTCTTCTATAACCTCTGTAGTTGTCCAGGGTTAGTGTTAGGATGGTTCTCACTCTAACTTTACGTCCTTTAGATCTGTAGGTCACATGCTAACCATAGCTCCACAGTCCAAAAATGAACACAGTCTTGGAACACATTTCAGATGAAGATCAGAACAGTGGGTTAGAACACAGAACGACAAAATGAATCCAACAACCCAAACTCTGAAAAAAAAAATTTTTTTTACTGAAAATGTTTCTTTTCTTCCTGTACAGATTATAGTTAATTTGAAATATAATTCAAATCTGAGGCCTGTTCAAAAGAGCCAATGTTTGCAAGCGAGAGTGAACATTTCTGTTTGAGGGATAAGAAATTTAGGTGAGCGTTTGCGAACGTTCACTATGTTGAACAGGCCTCTGTTGTCATGGTAGTTAGACTTGTTTACACATGAAATACATTAGAGCACTTGTATTTATAACATCTCTTCTAAATTTTGAACTGTAAATATTCTTTATTTAAAACAAGAAGCCTAAATAGTAACCATATTAACAATGTTCATCAAAATCACAAACCTTCAAACAGACAGACAATTAGACACAAAGATGGATAACAGCACCTTACCATTACATTTAGTATACCAGTACTATTCTATGACCAGTGGGGTTAAAATTCAAATCTATGGACAGTAGGATTAAAATCCAAATCTATAGATAACCAAACTTATAATGGCAACCAAATTTCTAAATCAGACATTCAATTATGAAACACTTTTCAATATATTGCATAGGAATTTGTGCACAATTTTGCATATTTTTTTCTGTGCGCTTCAATTCCCACAAACAAAATTACTTTTTCAATGCGTTTTTTATGACTTGTTATATAAATGACTTACACAATGTGTTTTTCATGACTTAAGCTCTATAAATAATTACACAATGTGTTTTTACAACTTGTTATATAAATGACTTAAACAGTGGGTCTTATATGACTTGTTATATATATGACTCAAACAATGTGTTTTTCTGACTCAGTATAGAAATGACTTGCACAGTGTGTTATTATGACTTCTTAAATAACTTACACAATGTGTTTTTATGACTTGTTGTATAAATGATTTACACAATGTGTTTTATGACTTCCTATATAAATGACTTAACACAACCTGGTTTTTTCCGACTTGTTATATAAATGACATACACAACGTGTTATATAAATGACTTACACAACGTGTTATATAAATGACTTACACAACGTGTTATATAAATGACTTACACAACGTGTTATATAAATGACTTACACAATGTGTTTTTTATGACTTGTTATATAAAAGACTTACACAATGCGTTTTTATGACTTGTTATATACCGTTTATACTCGCCTATAAGTCGGTTTTTTGGGAGTAAAATTTTGGTCCAAAACTCTATGTCCGACTTATAGGCGAGCCATAAAAAATTGACATTATTTTGAGCAGCAAAATGTAGTATTTTATAAACGTGTCCGACGATTATCGTTGAATAAAGTCTGGCTATATTATATCATTTTTGTATTCTAGGATTATGCATGAAGTACAAGTCTTTACATATCTCAATAATTTTATTTTTATCTTAACTGTGCATTACTTTTTTTTATAATTTAAAAATACTGGCGTCATTTCTTAAAAAAATTACTTAAACCAGGTTAAAACATCATTAAAACATTGATTTGAAATTGTCAGCCGGTTCTTGCAAAAAGTTGTACCGACTTATACATGTATGCAGGTCAGTAGCAAATCCTTCCAAAATAACCTTAAAAATTACAACCGACTTATAGGAGAGTATATACAGTAAATGACTTACACAATGTGTTTTTATGACTTCCTATATAAATGACTTACACAACCTGGTTTTTTCTGACTTGTTATATAAATGACTTAACAATGTGTTATATAAATGACTTGCATAATGTGTTTTTATGACTTGTTATATAAATGACTTACACAATGTGTTTTTATGACTTGTTATATAAATGACTTACACAATGTGTTTTTTATGACTTGTTATATAAATGACTTACACAATGTGTTTTTATGACTTGTTATATAAATGACTTACATAATGTGTTTTTATGACTTGTTATTTAAATGACTTACACAATGTGTTTTATGACTTATATTAATGACTTACACAATGTGTTTTTAAGACTTGTTATATAAATGACTTACACAATGCATCAAAAGGGAGAGTCCTGGAGATATTTAGTGTGTCCTTCAGCATAAGATCACGTAATGCCCACAAAGCATTGGACACGTTCCCATGGTAACCTGCTCCCTCAGCCAGCCAATGGGAGGGCAGACGATTTGGATCAGTGTTTGTGTTTTCTGCATTAGCCGTGAGATTCTTGTCCCAGTCACTGACAAAAGGTTTGTCTGCTCTTAGTCCCTCTATATACCTGTAAATACAATAATGAACAGTTTAATGTTTTCCACTTGTTTTAAGTTTACTGTGAATTATCGGTGTGTCAATCAAACAGACTTGCAAGTAGGCATATTTTTCATGAAGCGCTAGCACACTTCATGAAATATGCCTACATGAGAAGTTTGTGTGACTCACACAAAACTTATACTTTGAGTATTCTTGTACAAATATCGCTAGTATAGTGAGGAGCTTTTACACATACCTGAGATAGGCCTCTGAATGAAGCAGCCGTTGTGTACGGGGTGGGACGCTGACAAACATCGGGGATGGGGGACGCGGGGGAGGGGGTGGTGGAGGAGGTGGCGCCATCTGTTGTCCTGTAAAATAATTTATGTTAAAGTTTTCCAAAGGTGAAAATTAACAGAAACACAGTTACAGTCTTTTAAATTAACAGATTTATTTATTTTTTGTTATTGTTTTTTGAAGTCATCAATAAAATTCCTTTCAAATTTAAATGAAATCTGAGTAGTGCAACATGATAGAGTTATTTATTGATTTTCCACTTGATTTCTCTAACAATGTATTAGACAATCTTCAGTTCAATCAAAACCATGATTGTAAAGTTTAAGGCAATATGTACATTTTTTAAAAAAATTCTTTGAACCATAATCTGAGCACTCCTTTTATGAAATGCTAGTAAGTATATAATTATTTAATAAGTGCATATCAAACAAAAAAACTGTAGATAAGTGGAAAGAGTGAAGTCAAGGGAACAAGCAGAATTTAATGAGTGCCGGGGTAAATAAATAGTACAGATACACTCAGGAATAGTGAACAGTCTCTCATTAGTAGAAAACCAAAAATAAATAAATAGAACATTAAGATCCATGCCAGTAATGAATGGGAACCAACCATGTATAAAGCCTGGACATCTTAATGGGGTATAACTCTTGTTTTCTCAAATTTTGACCTGTATGGTACCATAATTTGCTGAATTCTTATTAGGATTCCATTTAAAAATTATTAAAATTACAGAAAAAAATCACATTTAGTGAATAGCTTTAGAGGGTACCGGGTAATTCTTTATGGAATTTTCTAAAAGATTTATTAAACATTCAATTAAACTATATGTAAAAAAAAGTCTGATTTTTGGCCAAATTTTGATTATCCCAAAAACATGACATTCACAGCTTAATTTTCATGGGTGGTTCAAAGTTAATGATAGAAAATAAGCAATAAAATTAAAATAAATCTAGCTTAGAAGAAATAAGAATTTCTAGCAGATATCAGACATACAAATTACTGGTTAAGTACTGCCTCACCTAAGAATCAATTAGGCTTGTATCACTTATAAACAAAGTACTGGTTAAATACTGCCTCACCTAAGTATCAATTAGGCTTGTATCACTTATAAACAAGATCATCTGTATATTTACAGTAAATTTTATTGAGAAAAACATCTATAAAATTGTGAAGAATCACAATCCATTATTCAACTCTTCCCTTTAGATTGTAACAATGCATGGAAAGCTAACAAGCTCTCGGGGATAATCCATTATAATGACAGAGTTCTCGGATTTTAGCCATCAAAGAACACTTAATTCAACTGTTATATATCTAATAATAGAATTATATATTCATCACAGTGTACTTTTGTAAATCCTATGTTTAGCTTAATGCACAACTATAAGTCACTTGTATTTTCAATATCATTATTTTTTTAAGTAATTGACCATACTATATGCTTGATTTCTAAAAAAAATTGTAATTGACGCAGTTGGCAGTTTGATTTCTGTGGAAATGAAGTTTCATTTCTATGGAAGAAATTATCTTAGCCAGGCACTAGATTATTTATAATTATAGATTTTATCACTGTATATGTAAATGGCTAAGCCAGATATTTGATTTTGTCTAAAATTGACTCTTACTTAACCAGAGATATTCTAAAGCTGACTCTTACTTAACCAGAAGATGAGTAGCACTACCTGCTTCTATAGGGGGGTAAAACTCGAGTGAAGGCGGAGCTGATACAGGAACACCTGGCGACGTCGAGTTAAATGGTCGACGAAGCATTTCCTGTAGCGCTGAAAGTCCAGAAGCAGAAAGAGAGGGAGGTGAGTTGCTATAGCACATGTTAGGAGGGACCGCCCCGCCCCCCAAGTTAGGGGGTCGAGGGGTCATGCTGTAGGGAGGAATACTACCCTGTGGGGTGACCCCGGGATGACCGGGCAGCATGCTGGTCGGTGGGGTGGGGGGATATCCTCCCGTCATTGGTCTCATTCCTGTTGGGGTGACTCCCCCGTGATACGGTGGCATGTAGGGTCGGCCTGGTGACATGCCAGCATGATGTGGTAGCCTAGGTGCCCCTGAGTGCATACCTTTGTTAACAAAGCCACAAAATAAAAAAAAACAAAAAACAAAAATAACATACAGTTTCATGCATATGAAATCCCAACTCATAGAAAAAAAAATTATACAAAAATTCTAATTATGACTGAATTAGTTGTAATATTCCATTGCCACAAAAGAAATTTGATTTATCTAGATGACAGAAATTTCAAGTGGTTTGACTGAGGTTATTTTTTTTCCTCTGAATCCTGAGGGATGCATTTAGCAGCATTTGAATAATTCTTCTTCTTACTTTGGCACATATTTAAACTCTTTTAATGAATTTTGAAATAAAAGAAACAAATGAGTTAAATACTACATCTGTACAAGACTCATGCAGACATTCAGAAAAGGAACGATGCATCATGGCAAAAATATTACCTTGAGCTTGATACTGTCCTTGATTACCTAAAAATAACAGAAAAATGAATAACACACACTTTTATACAGACTGACTGTTTGACAAGATTTAAATGATTTAATACAGACCAACTGTTTGTCAAGATTTAAATGATTTTATTCACAGATTTTCAACTTCAATTGGGTGTGTTTTCTATTTGTTTACATTTTTCTGAGTGTGTTATTGTATTTGTTTACTTTTTACTGCATGTGTTATTGTATTTGTTTAATTTAACCAGGTGAGAGTATTTGGTTACTTTTTTCTGTGTGTTATTGTATTTGTTTACATTTTACTGGGTGTGTTGTATTTGTTTACATTTTACTGGGTGTGATATTGTATTTTTTTTTTTTTTTTTTTACATTTTACTGGGTGTGTTATTGTATTTGTTTGCATTTTACTGGGTGTGTTGTATTTGTTTACATTTTACTGGGTGTGATATTGTATTTTTTTTTTTTTTTTACATTTTACTGGGTGTGTTATTGTATTTGTTTACAGTTTACTGGGTGTGATATTGTATTTTTTTTTTTTTTTACATTTTACTGGGTGTGTTATTGTATTTGTTCGCATTTTACTGGGTGTGTTATTGTATTTGTTTTAATTTAACCAGGTATGTTATTGTATTTGTTTACATTTTTTACCAGGTGTGTTCTTGTATTTGTTTACATTTTACCAGGTGTGTTATTGTATTTATTTACATCTAACTGGGTGTGTTGCTGTATTTGTTTATTTTTTACTGGGTGTGTTTGTTTACATTCTTCTGTGTGTGTTATTGTATTTTTTTTTTTTTACATTTTACCAGGTTTGTAACTGTATTTGTTTACATTTTACTGGGTGTGTTAGTGTATTTGTTTACATTTTACTGGGTGTGTTATTGTATTTGTTTACATTTTTCTGGGTGTGTTATTGTATTTGTTTGCATTACCAGGTGTTATATGATTTGCTGACATTGATCAAATGACTGATCACAACTTGACAACACTGGTGTGTTGGTTTTTTCTTATATTTCATTTTGATTTTTTTCCTGATTTTAGTTTTAATATTTTTTTATTAATACATCTCAGATTTCCCACTTACCTTGAATATTTAAAAGGATAAATATTGGTATGTGAAAGTGCAAGGATGTAATACAAATAAAAACATCCAATTAAACACATCCAAAATTCGTAGTTTTCATAAAAATTTATAAACAGGTTTAATGATATATCTGTCTAAAATGGCTTTTTGAAGATTCAAAGCACAAGAATTACCTGCGTAATTATAGTTCCACGAAAAAATTGTGTGTGTGTGTGGTGGTGGTGGTGGTGGTGGTGGGGGGGGGGGGGGGGAGGGGGAAGACGGTTATGTCTTTGTGGCTTGGCAACACTCCAGTAAAATGAGCAGTGGAATTCCTTGCCCTAAGAATTCTTCTTCTCTTTCAATGTGTCATTGTTAGTGTCTGAACTCTCTGCCTGGTCAGTCTACAGGTAAGAACCCCTAACTTTAGTTCTTCTCATCATGGTTAATTAGATTGGTTAAAGGACCCCTTTCCTTAGTTATTTTTATCATGGTCAGTTAGATGGGTTAAGGGACCCCTTATCTTAGTTATTTTCATCATGGTCAGTATTATGGGTTAACGGACCCCTTATCTTAGTAATTTTCATCCAGGTCAGTAATATGGGTAACGGACTCCTTATCTTAGTTATTTTCATCCTGGTCAGTAATGTGGGTTAAAGGATTCCTTATCTTAGTTATTTTTACCAGGGTTAAGGGACTATTTATCATTGTAATTTTCAATCAGTATTATGGGTTCAGGGACACCTTACCTTACTTATTTTTATTATGGTCAGTATTATGGGTTAAGGGACACCTTATCTTATTTTTATCAGCACATCATTCCTTAGCTCACCAGTCAGTTACTTTAGGTGAAGAATGACTTTCTTCAGTGTCCAAACTTACTTCCAAGGGTCCCTGGTCGGTTAGACAGGGCAGGGGACCTTTTAATTCTGGTAATGTCCCCCCACTCTGACCATGACCCTCTAAAGAATCATTCAGTGCTTGGTTACTTACTTCCAAGGGTCCCTGGTCAGTTAGACAGGGCAGGGGACCTCTTAATTCTAGTAATGTCCCCTTTCTCTGACCATGACCCTCTAAAGAATCATTCAGTGTTTGGTTACTTACTTCCAGGGGTCCCTGGTCGATTAGATGGGGCTGGGGACCCCTTACCCCCAGTAATATCCCATACACTTTGACCTTGACCCTGTAGGGAGTCGTTCAGTGCTTTGGTGGCCTCCTGTTGTTTGGCGAGCTGTTCCTCCGCGATTCGTTTTGCTCTCTCCTCGTACTTCTCTTTCTCAGATTTATCTAGATTTCTCCACTGTTAAAACACCACAATATAACTGTTAGTAAAACTGTAGTTTACAGCTCTATCTGATGTACACATTACTGTCCTGATCTAAAATATTTCTGAATAATTTATAAAAATAGATGTTATTTTTATTACTACTTGGATATCTTATTTTTGTTATAAATAGTCAATTTTCTCTTTTTTTCTTGGATCTTCTTTATCAACTACAGCTACTTTCAATATTCTTCTGTGCATATTTCTAGCTATTCCCTTTTTTTAAACAAAATTTTCAGTTCTTTTAAAAAGCTGAAGAAATCCGAATTGTACCACAGAACATGCAAAATTATCAAACCATGCATTTAAAAAAAGAATACCAAAAAAATCAATATACACTAAGCACAAAAATAAACACTCAGCTACAACAATTAAATATAACTAAAAGTATATATATCTGAAGGAACTGCTTAATGACACGGCTTCATATATATAGGAAAAAGCTGCCCTTAACAAGTGGAGGAAATGGACCTCAATTTTACCAAACATGCTTACAATAAAAGGTCATTCCACACAATTTAAATCTTTTAATTCTGTTAAAACATTAAAACTTTTCCATTTCTTTGATAACCATTCATTTCCTTTCAATGAGTGATTTTTTATACAAATTCTCCATTCAAACTAAATTGGAATGTAAATGTACTGCTGTTTGCCAAAAGTGAATATAAATGGAACCAACTAACTTAAAATATAACAGTTTAAATTAATTAATTTCCTATTGAAACTGAAGTTAGCAAGATTTAATGATATTTTTTAAATTACTTTCATTTACAATGAATGAAAAGGGATTTTTTTTTACCAGCATTTTTCCCCCCTGGCCTACCTTCTTCAGCAACATTTAATTTCACTTCATACTGAACAACAGGAAACGGAATTTCAATAATTATTTTACTTTATTGGATATTTATAAATCTGATCCTATTTTCAAGTTACCTAATGATGGATATATTATATTTTTTTTCTTGTTTATAAATCTGCCCCTGTTTGTATTATTGCATAACAATAGAATATTATTATCATTTTCTTCTTAATTGTTTATAAATCTGGTCCTGTTTGTATAGTTACCTGAACACCAACTAAGCGACTAATTTCTCCAAATGAGATGTCGGGGGATTCCGCGTTGATGATCCTACGACTTTCCTTAGAGAACAATATATAACCACTGGGAGGACGCCATTTCCTGTTTTTCTACAAATCAACAAAACGAAAAAAAATAGCATGCTACAGTTTGACGACCATGCAGTGCTTTGATCAGGGGTCTCTGGGTGTACCTCAGTGGACATTTTATAGTACCGGGGCTGTCAGTTCTGAGGGGGTGTGTCCAAAGTCAACACAGCCATTAATGTACTGTAGCAAACCACTATATTATTACTGCACTGCACCAATATTTTCTTACTAAGCATTAGGATAAAAAGAATTTGATTATATCTAGTGGTGTTCAACAGTACATCAATGACTAGAGTTATCCCTGAGACCCCTGCTGTGTCTCTATCACACTGGACATGCTTCAGTGACCACATCTACAAAGTGACCACATCATGTCTACCTTGCCCCCGACTATCCGGCTGATTTCTCCAAATGTACACTCTGGATTCTCTTGTTGGATTATTTTGCGGATTTCCCCTGAATATACAATGTATCCACTGATCTGTCGCTTCATTGAATTCTTTCCCTAAAATTGATGGTCACACACCAGTGAACATGCAACATATGACTTGTCACATGTCACTAATGAGCATGTAACACAAATTTGGTCACACACCACTGAACATGTAACACGACTTGTCACATGTCACTTAGCACATGATGCATGACCTCAGTGGCTTTGGCCAAAAACAAGAAATAATTATGAAATATAAAAACATGATAAAAAGTCAAACTGTAACAGTAAACTCAGATAAACATGTAACCCCTCTTTACCCTACTCCTGGATACCTGAAAACAAAACACATGTTAAATCTAAACATAAGCAGAGAAATATAAGTACATAAAAATCTCAACAATAGCTGATAAATCTTGTAAAAATGGCCACTAGTATTCAAATGAACTGCTCAATGATTTTAAAATTACCAGCTAGTACATAGTTTACTACATTCAAATGTATTGTGACTTTAGAAATTAATAACCTTTTAGGTCTTCAATATTGTAACATATAAAACATATTATGCAAGGTATAAAGAGAAAATTCCCACCCACTGCAGATGGTTGCATTAATATTGTTGAGAAAAATATTTTTTTAATGTAGATGTAAACGTGCAGCAGAACTGAAATTTTCAATGCATTTGTGCAAAATAAGTATGAATTTATTCAATGATTAATTATAAATTTCAACATGCTCATGTAAAGATTGTATACACACACTGTAAGGTTTTCATACATAAATCCTTGTTAACTTTGCTCTTTTGACAGTTAGATTGTTACTTGACAGTGGTTAATAGAATTAAGGCATACAATTTAATGTTGGAAATGCAAGTGATATTTTCTATAAGTAATAGCCACTGAACTATTTTTTAATGAAGTTATTTTCTATACAAACATTATTTTTTTCCTCACGAGATAACAGCTCTTGAGTTACTGTTATTTTAGAAAGAACTGGATACAAGGCAGCAACAGGCAGAAAGAGGCCAGGAATGGTGAGAACTTCTATCCCAGGTTTACACTGATGTAAGAGATACTTATCCATTATTCTGTACATAAAGCTGTATGACAAATAACATGCTATACAGACTCAGCACAGACCAGAAAGAAGTAGGCGTTATTTACATTTATTGACTGGGTTCAAGGGAAACATGCAATTTGTTGGACCCAAGAACCAAACTGTTTGCCTGAGTCCGTTAGGCCAAAGGCAAACAGTTTGGTTCGAGGGGTCAACAAAATGCATATTACCTGAGAACACAGTCAATAAATGTTTTGTTATACCTTTCATTTTTTTTTAAATACATGTATCTTGTGGAGGCTTCCATGATGTAAATTTCCTTTACCCACACTGCAGTTAAACTAGGTCAATTCTTTCACTGTCAAACATGAACAATGAACATGATGAATGCAAATAAAATTTAGCTCATATCCCACCCAAACTGTGACATAAGCGGTCCAATATCTCATCGACAGGTCCAATGTCTCACTATGCAATTAAAAACATTGATTTTTTTTACCACTCAGTAAAACATTGGAAATGTTAGACTTTTTTTAGTATACAAAACAAGTTTTAAAGGTATAACAAATAAATATGTTAAGTAATTCTAACAGCTATCAATCAGTTCATTCAGAATACATCTGTCAGAATGTTATTGTATTAAGAGTATAACGAAGCCAGCCGACAGAGCACAGTACAGCAGACAAATGTTAAAAGGAAATCCCAATCTAACATCTAAATTTACTTTCTTTGTCTTTTTTCAAGTACTTCTTTAATTCTGTAACTCGGACTACTCTAAGACGGATTGAAGTATGAATTTTAACAACCCCCCCCTCCCTTTCTGTTAAAACGAGGAAACCACTTGGATTTTGGATATAACATATCAACTTGGCTACATATCCCACATACACAAGCCAAGACAAAGCCATTCTATTTAATTATCTAATTAACGGGATTCATCAAGTCAAGCTGGAAAACGAGCTTCTACCTTCTTTTTCTTTTCTGTTGGTTCTTCCTAAAATAGGTCATCATGACACAAATATCTTATAATAAATATGATGCAATAAGATAAAATAGGTCACCATGACACCAATATCTTATTATAAATATGATGCAATAAGATAAATTAGGTTAGGAGAAAAAAGGTCACTGATACTCAAATATCTTATAAACGTGATGCAATAACAACAACAAAAAAAAAAAAACAACAAAAAACAAAACCAAAAAACCAAAAAACTGACCATGACTCAATATTTTATCTAGATCACCATAAAACAAACTAAGAGTGCTTTTTGTTCTGCATTGTATTAGAACTACACTTATAGAAGCTCCTCTTGAAACAGAGATTACTAATAAAACACAAAAAGCGGAGTCCACTGATCAGAACTAACATGCATATATTACAAGCTCATGTTTATAAAATGCTGCAACTTAAGGCCCTTACTTCATTACCTAAGGGAGCTAATTCCTAAGTGTAACTCTTCAGCTTAGAGAGCTACATTTATCAATATTAAGCAAAAGTGGAACCATCTGAGGATGATTGAAAGTACAAGTACAATGCACTTTAATTAACGATTGGTATTTTCTGTGAGGGGAAATATTTATACTTGCCTTGCATAATACAATCAAATTCTATAAACATCAGATATCTTCTTAAATCTGATGAATGATTATATTACGTAACAACTGTTTAAAATCATTAAATGTAAACAGTTATTTGAACTGTTAAAAAAATCATCACTTCATTATAAAATATTGTAAATATTAAACATTAAAATAAGAATTTTATATATTAGAAAATCATATTAGAAAATCCTATGAAGATTTATGCTTCAAAAAATAAATGTTGAAAATGTTGAAAATTAACTTGAAAGCCTGCAAGTTTGAGAAATTGAAGAGTTAATAAATAAATGAACAAGTTAAAATAAACTGAGAGACAATGAACAGCAGGGCACCCACTAAACACACATTAATGCCGTATATACCTTCTTGGAGGTTTTTTCTGGTACAGGAGTACTGAAATCCTCGAATGTCTAAAATGAAGCAGGATTTCATAAACTTTTTATCAATTCAAAGATAGCATTTTATGACATAAAGAACATTCTTTTCTCTCATATGTAAGAAAACTGTTTCTATCTTAAATATCTGTTAACAACATCAGATCCTGTTCAAATTCCAATTTTTTTTTTAAGGGATTCATCTTTTGAATCAAACCTGCAAAAGGTCATATTCATTACTGTATGGCTTGTTCAGGACTAAGAAGAAAGCTTTTAAGCTAAAGCTTTGACTACACTGATGGAGGTTCCTTTTTAATGAAATGATATCAATATATTATTTTTTGGTGGGTTACCTTTTTGGTGGACCTGGTACTGATTTTTTTATTTCACTTTTTGGTGGACTTGGTACTGATTTTTTAACTCCCCTTTTTGGTGGACTTGGTACTGATTTTTAACTCCCCTTTTTGGTGGACTTGGTACTGATTTATTAATTCACCTTTTTGGTGGACTTGGTACTGATTTTAACTCACCTTTTTGGTGGACTTGGTACTTATTTTTAACTCACCGTTTTGGTGGTCTTGGTACTGATTTATTAATTCACCTTTTTGGTGGACTTTGTACTGATTTTTAACTCACCTTTTTGGTGGACTTCGTACTGGGGATCTCAGGGAAGCCCTGGTGACTTGCCTCGGTGTCAAATGACATGTTTGTGCTCTCATCCAGCGTGTCCATTAGAGTGGAATCCTGGGAGTCGTCCATAAATGTGTCATCTGCTGCCTTCATCAGCAGTGGAGAGGGCTCCTGTAACACAATAAGGCAACAGTGTAAATATACATCATCTGCTACAGTAAGGCAACACTGCATGTAAACATGTCATAGACATAAACATGTCAAATGCTGCCTTTATCAGAGAGGGCTATTGTAAGACAGCACTGTAAAAATATCACCACTGACCTAGAATAAGATTAACACTGTCAACATATCACAACCACTGACCTATAATAAGGTCACCATTGTAAACATATCGCATTTGACCTCGAATTTGTTTGTTTTTTGTCCCTCTTGAGAATTTTTCACTCATATGGAGACTTGCTTGTAGAGGGCTGCAAATCTTGACCTACACTCAGCACTCAAGGCCATTGAGCAGTGAGGAATCTTTTTCGTGCCAGTACCTACTAAGCGGACTTCGGTTTATATGGTCTCATCCAAAGGACTGGTCTCCACGTCTCACAGTGGATTTGAACCCACGACGTAAGGATCAACTCCTTATACTTTGACTCTAGAGCAAATGCTCTAACCACTGTGCCACGCAGGTGATCTTGACCTAGAATAAGGTCACCATTGTAAATATATCAAAACCATTGACCTAGAATAAGGACAGCACTATAAACATATCACAATGACCTAGAAATAGGACAACACTGTAAACAAATCACAACCATTGACCTAGAATGAGGACAACACTGTAAACAAATCACAACCATTGACCCAGAATAAGGACAACACTGTAAACAAATCACAACATTGACCTAGAATGAGGACAACACTGTAAACAAATCACAACCATTGACCCAGAATAAGGACAACACTGTAAACAAATCACAACCATTGGCCTACAATGAGGACAACACTGTAAACAAATCACAACCACTGACCTAGAATGAGGACAACACTGTAAACAAATCACAACCATTGACCCAGATTAAGGACAACACTGTAAACAAATCAAAACCATTGACCCAGAATAAGGACAACACTGTAAACAAATCACAACCATTGGCCTACAATGAGGACAACACTGTAAACAAATCACAACCATTGACCCAGAATAAGGACAACACTGTAAACAAATCACAACCATTGACCTATAATAAGGACAGCACTATAAACATAACCAATAACAAGGAATGAGGACATTAATTTTACATAAAGTTTACAAAAACTCGGCAACAATTAACACAGAGAACTTGTTCAAGACATTTCATAGTCCATTATGCAATTAATATTAGCACACGACAACTACTACTATTTAAGAAACAAGGTATCCCTTTTAAACATTTATTGGGATATAGATAAGGGTTGGCCACGTGATAAAATCACTTAAAACCCAGTGTTTTCTTATTAATATATATTTATACTTGTAACATTCTTTTAACAAGTATTTGTGCACTTAAAACCTTTAACCCATGAAATGTTTATTTATCAAAATTTTTATGTTGAATCTATTGAACACAATCAATAAAAAAAATAATGCCTACAGTAATGTATTGTTATGTAATAACCATGTAACTTATTAATTGAATTGTTATGTACTAGCTGTGTACTTTATTAATAACACATTATTTTATAATAATGTATTACTAAGCACAACTGACATGACTGAAGCATGGAGGCTATTAACAATAGACCTTCTGATTCTGTGGTGCAGTTAAACTGTTATACAGCTGTAATAATTATTGATAGTATTTAACCCTAAACAACACACTCAAATATGTTAATAAGCTAGTGACCCTTAAATTCCTGACCTAAGTCACAATAAAGTCTATACAATAGGCTGAATATACATTCTTAACATTGTACAATAATCCACTTAATTCTTGTTTCAGATCAGCTCTCTCACAGATAAACGACTCTGAACTGAGATGAACCTCATTCACAGAAAATCACAGCCTCCACCAGCCATAAACACACACACACACAGCCACAGTATTGATTGGGGATATAAACTACTGCAGTAAAATCTCCCCCCATCAGCTGTGTACATCTACAGTCACACATAAGTACCATACCTCTACAATACAGAATCTAGTGTCCGGTAACATCTTCAAATCAGTCAGAGCATTAAAAATGTCTGACACACCCACATCAAACAAGGATAATGTATTCCAGTCTGAAGCAGAAGGATTACATCACCATCAGTTAAAAGGTCTCTCTATTGATTTTGGTGTTCTGTAGATAGTTTAGGGTTTTTACTCCAGGATCTGAGATTTAGCACAGTGAGGTACCCTCCCTGACAGAGTGCTATCCCACCCCACAGTGAAGCCAGAGATGGTGGACTAGCTAGTATTGATTTAGTCAGTCTGTCTTTAACACCAAACAGATATTGATTAATGAAAGATAATACAGACTGATGACAAGCCAGCCAGAACTATGTCGCTTTTAAGGCCGTTTTTGAATTATTGATTATCAGTTAAAGCATTAAGAGTGAAAAACCCCTATTAATATAATTAAATATTCAGGAAATTGTTGAATTTTGAACCCAAACAAAGGCAGCAGGCAACAGACACATAACTGATAATAAACTCCCAGACTCTGATCAATATTTACATATAATACACAGCGTCAGGGACAAGTTCTACTGCTTAGTGTGTGATGGCTGATCTTTTGTGGGGTGGGTCAGAGTGGGGGGAATTAGGGTGTGATGGCTGCTGATCTTTTGTGGGGTGGATGGGAGTGGGGGGAATTAGGGTATGATGGCTGACCTCCTGTGGAGGGGGGGGGGTAGTCACAGCAGGTGTCCAATCAACAACAACCCTAACCCTACAGGGAATCTATTTATAAACAAAGTTAACTCAAAAGATGCTACTGTAATGCCCAGATTATCCCCCACAGGGAATCTACTCATAAACAAAGTTAACTCAGAAGATTCTACAGTAATGCACAGATTATCAGCTAGCTGTTACAGATATTTATTTCCTTTGTGTGTCATAATTCAACTTCAGGCAGAGAATCATCAGATCTTTTACGTAATAATCTACTTAAAGTGTGTACATAACTACATATGTCTAGATCCAACATAACCCCTTCTGTTCTCAATCCCTGCTGATACATTGATGGGACATACAGATACACAAATCTCCTGCCACTTCATTTTTGTTTCATGCAAACAAAGAGTCAAGTATTTCATCAACTGTAGCTAGGGATCAGAGACTTAATGACTGGATATATCATCAATGTTAACATTAAAGCTATAATTACTTTGATCAGCTTTAAGACGGTTTTTATAGTATAAAAGATGATTTAGAACACTTCTCCTCTAAGATATTAGGGCTTTTCTTGTTGAAAAGACAGTAAAAATTAATCTGAATTAATTAAGGCTGAAAGGTCATTTCTAATTGTAGAAACATTTGTGACTGAAAACACTGAAACAGGGTTCAAAGGTCGATCAATTATTATTGACAAACTCCTCGAATAAATGACAAAAGCACTGTAAAATTCAATTTAAAACCAAAGATTTAGATTTATTTTATATAATTCAGCTAAGCTATGCTGTGTAACTGAAAACATTTCAGAGTAACAAATGGAGTATATCAAAATGATAAGTTTTTGAAACTTGTGCAAAAACTCTCAATAGGTACAAAACATTACTTGCACTTAAAACTAATCTATAATTACACATTAGTACTGATAAATTGTTTACTTTATACCACAGCTGAGAGTAAATCAAGCGATTGCTGTGTTAGACACCAATAAACCTGAGAGCTTAATAAATAAAAAGAGTGTAGAATAAATTTTTCTTTAGGTTGATATAACGAAATGAATAAAACCGAAAAAAAGCTTCCAAGGAGGTATTTTCCAACTAAACATATCTAATAAGTTATACATTATGAAAATACTTTCCCATAAAAATTTCATGTGTCTTTGAGTTCAGTAGTTCACAGGGACATAAAATTAAATAAATATATCTCTTTATAGACCTTTCCAAACAATTTAAAAATACACAAAATCATGTTCCTTTCTGAGTGTGTAATTATGAATTTGCAAATATTAATCATTACCAGAAAATAGTTTGTAATGCTGTGACATATCAGCCTGTTTACAGCCTTCCTTATCTGCACAAGCTTTCATTATATAGTAATAAAATGAGATGAGCTAGTCTAATTTTTTCATCCATAAGTTTTATGCATGCTAACAATAAAAAGTTATTTGATCGAGACAATAAAAAATAACTCCTCATTTCCCCATGTGCACTTCCTAACACAACCACAAATAGATTGGCCGCTGCTGCACCTGATAATTAAACCCCACAAAAATAAGTGTTCTACAGTATTACCACTATTGCAGATACTCTGTTTAAGGCTAAGTTGTTCAAATGAACATGTGGGAAATTATTGTTATACCCATCTCTATGTCATTGTAAGAGAAGTATTGTTATACCCATCTCTATGTCATTATAAGGGAAGTATTGTTATACCCATCTCTATGTCATTATAAGGGAAGTATTGTTATAACCATCTCTATGTCATTATAAGGGAAGTATTGTTATACCCATCTCTATGTCATTATAAGGGAAGTATTGTTATACCCATCTCTATGTCATTATAAGGGAAGACAGTAACATCTCTACAGCAAAACTTGAATATAACAAACACAGATATAGTGAAATTACGGCTAAAGTGAATTTTTATTCATGTCCTGGCAAAGTCCTTATATAAACCTATAGAAAATTGCCATATATAACCAACACGGCTATAGCGAATTTACGGCTATAATGAAGTAATTTTAAGACCCCTGCTGATGTTATAATTTTAACACATTTTTTCATTAGTATAACGAATATTTTTCATTACAAATCTCATTAAATGTACATAAAATTTTCAAATTTATGCTTCGATGTTTAGAGAATAAAGTGCTCATGGGCTTACATCAAAAACAAGTCATTTATTCAGGAGTTTTGAGTTTTGTTCATTGTTCTTCACTTTTAAATACATTTAAGGGCGGCCTTGCTAAAATAGAAATTGCTTAAAAGTTTGACATTTTACCAAATATGCTAAGTACATGTACAACCCTGAAAAACAAAGAAGAGATAGAAACAAAGAAAAAAATATGAATCAACAGGAATAATATCAACACGCAAACGCCACCGGTCAGTACCAGATAATAGATTCCGCTTTATTAGTCTAAGTGTGGTTTAATAAAAAGAGATAAGAGAACATTCCCTTAAGTGGTCCTTTATTCCTTCAAAAATCAGAATACCTTGCCAAGAAATTAGGAGACCACAGTTTTAAAATCAATACTGGGTGGCAGGAACACTTCAAAAATGGAATCGTGAGTCGTGTGATAACTGGTGAGAGTGCAATCGTCGATCCTAAAAGCGTTGATGAACAGAAAGAAAAACAGATCTTACAAGATTACAACCGGGACAACCCTAATGCTATTATCAACGCAGACAAAACAGGGAATTTTTACAAACTTCTACAAGACAGAACATTACAAATGAAAGGTGAAAAACGTCATGGGGGGAAAAGATTGGAGAGATTGACGCTCATGGTCGTGGCAAATATGAATGGGACAGAGAAATTACCCCTGCTAGTCATAGGAAAATTTGAAAACCCTCAATGTTTTAAGGGGGTCGAATCGTTTCCTTTAATCTACAGAGCAAACAAAAAAGCATGGATGGTTATAGTTCTGTTTTTGAAGAATGGATATGAAATCTTGACTGCAGGTTTTTAAGAGAGAAACGTAAGGTGCTTTTTTTGTCGACAAGTGTGCTGCTCACCCGAAAGTGCTTAATCTCAAGTCCGTCACACTGAAATTTCTCCCACCTAACACAACTAGCATACTACAACCAACGGACCAGGGTATTATCAACAACTTGAAAATCAAATATCGTCAGCGACTGATAAAATACATACTTCAGGTAATATTTACACCTTAATTTCTATTGTTTATTTGTGTGACTGTAAATACTGGCTAATATGTGGTTATCTAAGCATAACGTTCCATTCTTTATTTGATAAATAAACCATATGATTGTTTTCTAACAGATTAAATGAATTAATTTCAGTGTGATGAGAAGAAAATTGAACCAAATATCAACATGTTGATGTCAATTAGATTTCAGAGGTCAGCTTGGAGTGACGTTAGTGTGTCATGCAATGAAAAACGGGTTTTGAGGACAAAAGCGTAGAAGTTACAGATCATGATGATGAGTTTGATGAAGATGATGACATTCCATTAGCATTATTTACATGGAAATTTAAAGGATCCTTTGATGATATTGTTTGTGTGGACAAAAACCTGATCAGTGTTGAGACACTGAAGTGAAGATCCCAAGATGACATTGTTAATGATATTCTTGGTAACTCACAAATTGAATCAATTAGTGCAGAAAGTGACAATGATGACAAATTAAATCACTGGCTCAACAGATTTCCCAAATTTGGACGATGGTAAAAACTCTATTCACACCTTAAGAAGCAAGTGCAAATATTTCAGAAGTTTTATTTACCTACTTATGTGAAATTGAGAAGTTCGTGAATGTCAGTAGAACAAAACAGCAAACACTTAACGATTACTTTAACGTTCCATAACGAGATAAATTTGACATATGGACACCAGGGTCATCAATAAATACTCCATATGTTTGTGAATCCTGTGTATGTATATTACATTTATTTGCCACAATTAAAAAATATTGTTCCGGAAATAAAATCTTTATTTTATCAGTTCTATTTTTAATTTGTTAAAGGTGTATCTGGTAGCATGGATATGGTATGAAGCTAAGTGATGAACATATGGCAAGTTTCATTTTTTTCTGACATTTGAAATGCCAAAGTTACATAATATCAAATGTTCAAATTAAAATATTATACAAAAAATTCTTAAATTGTGCATCAGTGTTCCAGCTAGGATCTGAAAATGGAGGGGTGCAAGAGGAGGGCACTTTTTCGCCCCATACCGTTTGTTGCGGGCTTTTGTTACATAGGCGTATCTCATAACTTCACCCTTATAATAATGAACTCCTACAAATATTAATTTATTTAACCTTATTGATTTGAAAGATATATATATATAAACACACATTTATAGGCCTAATCTATAGCTAGTATATACATTAACATATAAAAAGAATTTTAAAAATCCTCTGAGAATAAATATTACTTTTCTTCTTCTTTTTTAATCATTTTCTATTCTTATTTCCTGTTTTCAAAAACAGAACCATAATTCTTATAAACTAGCTGGTTTCTCACATTATTCAGTGCAGTACATGTGCTACATGTGATTGGGTCTGTTTTTGGCAAGTGTATAAAATATGGATACAGTATTTGTAGGTTATAAGTAACATATTAGTACTAGTATTAAACTTTTAATTTAAAGCCAATATCTTTTTTGCCTGTTTTATCATACTAGTCATGTTATTAGCAGATACTTAATTAAATTCAAGATTTTAAATTTCTGCAATGAAATAGAACATATTTTAATATGTACATATCTGTAATCTCATAAAATACCTCCCCGAGTGTAAAAAATCATAATTAAGGAGAAAATAAATGAATATTTATACTTGTTTCTGTGCTATTAAATATTGAATTCCTTCTCTTTTCAGAAAAAACGTCTCAAGAAGTGAAGGTCAATCTTAATTCTACTTTCATTTCGTGATTTATTTTTAGAAAGCTATAATACGGGTACTACTAAACAGAGTACGCTAGAGTACTTTAGAGTACGCTAGAAAAAATGTGTAGTTTAATGCAATTAAATTGTTTATTTATGTAAATATAACTCGATTAAACATTATTAATATTGCAATATTTATTTCAAAATATTTGTTTTTAGCGCTATTTTGACAAGAAAATAACATTCATGATTCAATGCATTAAACTGTTAAAGATTATTAACACTCTGATCTCGATTAATATTTTGTTTCAGAATTACTAACTTCAACTAAATTTTATCAAAAATTAAATTTATTGCCCTCTATAAATATTTTTTACATTAACAATGAAACATTTCAACATGTTCAAGTTAAAATTAGATCGGGATCAAACGATAAACCGTCACCTGGTCACCCGAAATCAGAATTTGAAAGAACTCCTAAAATAAGGAAAACATATAAATCTAATTTAAAATATATATTCATTATGTTTAACTAAAGAAGAAAAACATACAAAAAGTAGTTAAATTGCATTAAATTATTAAATTTTACTAGCGTACTCTAAAGTACTCTATCGTACTAGCGTACTCTGTTTAGGTAGGACCGCTATAATACAAGACTTGTTTTATATTAATTAAAACAGATAGCTTGGACATTCTCAAAGTATTTCAGCTTTTAACCCCTATTCAGACTGTCAAGTGATCAAAGTAATTACCTAATCACCTGTAATTGAAAGTGGACACCTGGATAGTACATAGGTACCGTAATGCGAGTTTCATTGCGTAATCGTCTATGACAGGAGGTGTGAATTGCTGATTGTCCTTGGGTAATCTGCATTGGAACACACTAATTATTCTAATGAGGGAAAAGGACAGTCAGAATAACACAGGACACTAACAGGGGACACAGGGGCGCTCGTGGGGGGCAGAGGGGCGTAATGATTTGAAGGCGGGGTGCGGCGCCCCTCTGTTTCACCCTAGCTGGAACACAGCTGCATCTAAGGAAGTGAAAAGCTTAAGGTTGTACTGACAATTTTTTGTAACTGACAGTGATATCGATTTTATAACGTACAATAGTTTGAAGTACTGTCAGCTGTTTTAAAAAGAATTCGCTATAGGATTTCTTACGAATTCGCTATAAACACATAACAAATTACAGTTATAGCGAAGTTCTTTCTTTGGTCCCTTGAAATTCGCTATAAAGGAGTTTTGCAGTACATAAATTCTCTACATACATTCACACATCAGAGTCTCTTAAGATTGAGGATGACATTCTTTTTTTATCATCAAGGCACTGTCTTCTCTTAGACAGGTTCACTTTCACTTTGGGCACTGTAAGTCTGGTGGATTGTAAAAACACCCGGGCTTAAGTAAATATTTTATAATTCTTTGACTGAAATCACAAATTTGACCATATCATTTTACTTTTTACTTCTTTTTTTCCCCTTCAATTTTTAGTTTTCCATAGAACAGATACCGGGACAAGTCAAATGAACAAAAATTCTAAGTTACTATATACTGGGAAATTTTTGCCCCTGTTTTATTTTTGCCCTTTCGTACTTGTCACAAATGGGTGAATTACAACAGAGCAAATTCAGAGAAGACAGCATTATCTCTTAAATAGAAGTGTGTCTGGGTGAATTTAAAGCGGGGCTAAATCAATTGCAAATATGAAAGGATGAAAACATGGGACAAAAACAAGCCTGTATACAGGAACTTCAGTGTTAATATACAGGTATGCATCATGTAAGATTTCATTTCAGCAAACTTTTCAATATATCTGGATCCACTGTTTCATGTTTGAGTGACAAACACTTCATATGATCCTGGTTTCAAACATCAGAATCATCAATTTAGAATACAGTACTAGAATCTTTTTAATACTTTGGGGGGGGGGGGGGGGTTATTCCTATGATGGAGATCTTAGAATTTGATATCACATTACTTCCACTACAAGAAAAGGCTGTAAATGAGTAAAGATAATAACAAATTCACAGGACATCAATCCTTCACTGATTTTAATCCATGTCCAAGTAAAGTATGAACAATACAAACAACACATGGAAGTCTATATAACATTAAAGCCATGTTCCTACCTTCTGAGGTGTGATGGGTTTTTTGTAGAAAAAGATTTCATCATCAGTCACCAGTCCTGACAAGTTGTATTTCTGTCAGAAACAAAATATAAAGTTTAATGGATATCTTTCCTTAAATTTCTTAGTTCTGGTTGAAACAAACAATAAATATCGCATAAAATCAAACCAAAAAAAAATCAAGGCACATATTTTTATATCCAAACACCAGTGATTTTTCTACATTTTTTAAAAGGGGCCTGGGCCTTTACAATTGGGAAAAATTATCAACATTTTTGTCAAAATGGGAAAAATCAATAAGATTGAAATGAACCTTAATTGACAGGTAAAATGAAATATATAAATAAATGTAAGATCACTTATTCAAAATATTTACTACAAAATAACAAATTAGACACAGTTGTACATTTTTAACTTTCTTTTTTTAATCTTGTAAGTTGTCATTAATTGAGACCTTCCTATAATTTCATTCCTTTTTTTTTTTTGTCATAATGGTACCAGGGACCTATATACTAGTTAGTATATATAGGTCCCTGATGGTAGACATAAGAGAAAATCCTACCCCTAATAGCCATTGAAGATGATATAACCTGACATGATTTATAACAAATCATTTTTATCTAACTAATTATTCAAGCTTTCTTAATTACCTTAATCATATTGCTGCAATTGCCCTGCAATATTAGTTGCATCTGCAGGGTGTAAACACAGTTTGATTTTCATGGAATCAGGGATGTTTGTTGTAGAACTACTAGTACTTGGATTTACAAATAAAGCTATGTTTCGCCGATTCACATGCATCTTTCACTTTCTTGCGATGTATTTAGTATTACATTTTGACATGATCCATGTGTTTTTCTATGTCTTGTATATGCACAAAATAAACTGCTGTTCTTCACTATTATTTTAAGACTCTGAAGGACCGAGAACAATAGCGTTCCATTTTAGATAAGTCTTACATAAAAAATTCAATATAACAAAAACAATAGCGGTTTTATTTTGGGAAAAAAGCAACTGAAATTGGGAAAAAATTGGCAATTTTTGATAGGGGAAAGGGCTGATATTCGGACCTAAATTGGGTGTAGAAAAATCACTGAACACTGAATCAAGTAAAATAAAACCCATTGTGAAAAACCCTTAAAATGCATTCATGCTTACAGAGAAGTGATTTTCATTCCTGGCTTGTAGTTCTAAAACATATTATGAACTTTTTGGATAAAATGAATAATGTTTACAATAACCTTGTGTTTTACTGTAATTCTAGATATCAACCTTTCTGTTCTTTTTATCAATGAAGTTCTTTTCCAACAACCCTGTTGTTTAGATCCCATTTTCTATATTTAGTCTTATTTCTCTCACTGGTCCCCTAATCCTATCTGGGATCTAATTTTCTGATCCTATCAGCCATTTTTCTCTCACCTTGAGCCCCTTTCCGAGCCTTTTGACCGTTCTGTCTGCTTCCTGAACTTTTGATTCGCACAGATACGTGTCCTCCTCTGGAATCTCTGTCACTCGACCTGCGGGAAATAGAATTATATAATAAGATCTCCCAAGTCATCACCAGAAACAAATCTATCCTCAACAAATCTACCAGGGATTTATGGGGTTCAATATTAGAGCTCTCGGTATGTAGGTGATGTAATATTCCTAAAAGGTCACAAATACAAAATGCTGGCTTGAGATATAGAGATTACTCACACATGCATTTACTTACTTATGCAGTATTCCTTGAGATAGAGCATATAGCACCGTGCTGTTATCTGAGATATTGATGAGATATTGAGATAACTTACTTATGCAGTATTCCTTGAGATGGAGCACACAGCACCGTCCCGTGATCTGAGATATTGACGAGATATTGAGATAACTTACTTATGCAGTATTCCTTGAGATGGAGCACACAGCACCGTCCCGTGATCTGAGATATTGACGAGATATTGAGATAACTTACTTATGCAGTATTCCTTGAGATGGAGCACACAGCACCGTCCCGTGATCTGAGATATTGGGTGCACTGTCTCTTGTGAACTCAGGAACAACTCGTGTCTATAAAACAGTCGAGTCGGGGAGTGAGGGATGTCTGCTGGGCGGACAAAGGCTGTACCCGTGAAATAAGCATCATTACTGAAATAGGAAACAGAATCATGAATGTGTGTCATGCAGTTGTGTGGCTGTGAACATCTGGAGCCACCTAAATAACAGATTAACTACAATCTGGTACAATTTTTTTTTCAAAGTTTAAAAATTCAAATGTTTTTCCTGTTTTTCATTATTTGAGCTCCAATGTATAACCCATTTATATTGTCAGGATTTATGTTTATTTGACAGTCCCAAAATATCACATACTGGAGATTTTCCAAAAGTTTATAACTTAAATATAAATTAAGATAATACATTATTGTTGAGAGAATTATAGCTCTAAGTACATAAGGGCATTTCAAATAGAAATGACATTTTCTTTGGAACAATATCACTAATTAGAAGCAGAATTTTACATAACAGAGGGATGGTATACCTGTACAGACCAGTGAGAGAATGGCTGTCTACAACCCTGACAAATAGTAAACAGTTATAAAAGATTGCTTTAATTAATCTATGAAATACCTGTTCCAATAAGAACCAAAGAAATCTTACTTGATGACAAAGATTTTCTCTATCCTACTAATATCTGGAGTGTCTGTATTATTCTTCAGAAAAACACTGTCACCTAGTTAAAAATAAAATGAAATATCACTTGATTGTACAAAACAAAACAAAAGGCTCAAGGGTCGTAACAGTCACCTGAGTATAACATACAACACTGTAAAGGATCCATAGAAGCATCTTGGAAGAGGCATTCTTGTACATCATAAACATGCAATTAGTTTGTCTACTAAATAACTAGAGGCATAGAAGAATTTTAAAGAATTTATGCATTTTCACTACTGTACACAGGGTTGTTTTTGCCCTGTGTTATTTTCGCCCTTTCACACTTAAAAACAATTTGCCCAGTCAAAGTTCTGTTTCAGAAATTATACTGTCTTCTTTGAATTCGCCCTGTCTTAAATTCGCCTACTTGTGTCTAGGGCAAAAGGGGCGAAAATGAAATGGAGGCAAAAATTTCCCTGTATACAATATATGATCAACAGAGTCAGCTGCTCTAACACCAGAAACCCTGACCCAGGGGCCATGAATTTCACAATTTTGGAAGAGGAATTAGGGTTAGGGTTAGGTTGGTTGAAATTTAGTGTGTATGTTTAATATACAGGGGGAGAAAAGCTCTTTAAAGAATGTGTGCGTGCATTTTCACTATATGATCAATAAAGCCCCGTCCTAACACCAGAACCCCTAACTCAGGGACCATGAATTTCATAATTTTGGTAGAGGACTAAATGCTTATTACAATCATACCAAAAGTTTAACTACTTGATATCCAAGAGTAAAGAAGAAGATTTTTAAAGATAGAACTAATTTTGATGGTTTTAGCCCCACCCCTCATGCTCCAGGCGGGCAGGGACCATGAAATTCAAAATTTTTGTTCCCCTTCACCCATAGATGCTATATGCCAAAATTGGTTGAAATTGGTTCAGCTGTTCCAGAGAAGAAGCTGAAAATTTTCAGATGTTAACATGCAATGCAGGTTGTACGTCAGATGATGACAGACAAAAACAGATAGCATTTAGGTCACTTGAGTGACTCAGGTGACCTAAAAATCATTTTTTACCTTGAAAATAAGCAACAAATGACATTATATACAATGTACTTTCAATACACTTATTTAAAGTTCTACATGAAGCATACAGTAACTTTTATACACAGAAGGTGTACAGTGCCTGTTTAAACTAAATGATAAACAAGTAAAACATGCCTATGTAAATACTCTGAACTACATAACTTTTTCATTTATATCTTTTATGAGATGTACATGGTTAGTGCCATATCTACAGGGCATGTATATCATGTGTCTTAAAACAAGTTAAAATGTTCTATACCACATGCAAAGTAACCGGTAGTTAAACTTCAGGTTATTCCAAGTTTTTCCTCTGTTTAGCATCCATTCATTTTTCAAAAATCTACTTACTTATTCACAAAAAAAAACCCAAGCCAAAAAATTATTATATTATATAGTCTGAAAAATGACATCATTCAAATGATTTAATTTCATTAAACTATTTTTTTCATAATTTAGAAAGATATTCCTTAGCAAAATCAAGGTATTAAATACAAAAATATACCTAATTTGTAGATTGTAGACAAATATTGAAAGAAATTGACAAAATTCAAAGGTTTCATCCAAAACAATCGATTTAAGGACTTCTGATTTTGTTTGTTTGGTTTTTTATCTGGGTGTCAAAAACCAGGGCTCAGGTGGACACTAAACATAGAAAAAACTTGGAATGGCCTAATGAAGTACCTATTTTAAATGTGCATGTAACTGGTGATTAAAATAAATCAGTTACTTCTTTTAATGGTCAATAAGGATGTGCATTGTTACAAGTAAAACTAAATCTTGTACCCATTTTAAATTTAAATGTATGTATAGCTGGTTACAACACATACCTATTTTAAATGTTCCGTAAGGTGTGCATAGTTGTTCATAGTAATTATATCCATCATCTGGGTTGGGATTTTCTAGTGGGATATCCTGAAAAATGAAATATTATTACACATTTACACATAACCCTTTAGTATGTCATCAAAAATGATTTCACTAACAATGTGTCAGAAGTAAGTTACAAAAGATACAACTACATAGACAAGGTTTAACTCTTAGATGTATTGTCCCCAAACCAAAACTAAAATAATGAAATACAATGTATGACTATATCTATAGTGTTATATAAACGTAGAGGTCTGTTCTTCTTCTACTGTGATATACATGTACATTATTTTATATTAAATATTATCGACCAATTCTCTCTTTATCCAGAATACTGGTGATATACTATCTACAGGTGATATATTATCTACAGGTAATACAATTCTCTCTTTATCCAGTACACTGGTGATATATTATCTAACACCTATGATTCTCTCTTTATCCAGAATACTGGTGATATATTATCTACAGGTGATATATTATCTAACACCTACAATTCTCTTTTTATCCAGAATACTGGTGATATATTATCTACAGGTGATATATTATCTAACACCTACATTTCTCTCTTTATCCAGAATACTGGTGATATATTATCTAACACCTAGGATTCTCTCTTTATCCAGTATACAGGTGATATATTATCTACAGGTGATATATTATCTAATACCTACGATTCTCTCTTTATCCAGAATACTGGTGATATATTATCTACAGGTGATGTATTATCTACAGGTGATATATTATCTAACACCTACAATTCTCTCTTTATCCAAAATACTTGTCGCTCCATCGTCCACCTCTTCTTCCTTTCTTCCAGCAAACACTGAGGACACTCGCACCGGGACAAGGGGAATTTCCCTTGGGGACAGGGAAACCTGGTCTCCTCCAGGGATCTGCCACACCTAGAAAAATTATCAGACTTTATCATTTCTAATTACTCCATAGTTATTTTGGAAATAAGCATATTGATTCATCATTTAAATAACTCCATTAGGACCTTACAAAAGAGTTTTTTCCAGAGAGTAATGTTCATAAACGACCTTAATGGATAAACTACTTCTTTGAGTTACTTCCCTTTTCAGAACATTTCTTAGGCCAAGTCGGACAATAATGAAAATTACTGATAAAGACCTTCACATTAACCAGTCAGAAGTTTGTAGAATAGAGGGATGAACAGACTGACATTGTGATTATACAAGAGGGCCCCAGAATCTTATGGAACTGATCCTTAAATTCTGTTTCTATGAACACTGACCTTGATTTTTTTGAAGGACTTGTGGCGATTGCTGTATCTTGATTCACAGACAAATACATCCTTGTCTTCAAATCCCTGAAATTAAAACAAACAATTTCACAAAACATTAAATGTACAGAGTTATAACTTTTAACATTAAAATCAAATGTGGAGCTTTAATCCCTAGACTTTGATTTTTTAAACATTATCTTCATGTTAGCAGGTCTTGACTTGAAGTAATCTTTGACGTACATGACATAACATACTTGGGCCATGACTTGAAGTAATCTTTAACATACTAACGTTAACATACCTCGGGCCGTGACTTGAAGTAATCTTTGACGTACATGACGTAACACTTTCCAATGACTTGGGACAGAGGGATGCTGGTGTAAAAATCACTCTTGAAGACTTCCTGTAAAGCCACATCAATTATCATTACTTCCCAACTGAATGTCCATCCATCTAAGAAGCCTAGGTTAGCTATTCAATCTTGCATTCAAACAAAATTTTAAACCATTTCTTTAAATGACTACCTTAAGCTTTTCATGTTATGCATTTTAATTTCATTCAAAGTTCCAGGAAAAAAATTGAACACATCTGATAGCTACAGATATCAAACCACAAGGTCTCCTACTGACCTTTTCGAGGAATTTTCGACTAGCAAGGTGGAAGGTCTCGTTTGGTCGGTAAAACCAGTTCCCATGCAGCTGTTGTTGAGAGTTCGCATCTGTGTACAGCTTCTCTATACACATAATGTGTGGTTCTAAACCCTTCTCTCTGTGTCAGAAAATATAGAACAAACAGTCAACAGTGTACAACTTCTCTACAAACATAATGTGTGGCTCTAATCCTTTCTCTCTGTGTCAGAAAATATAGAACTGTCAATAGTGTACAACATCTCTATACACATAATGTGTGGTTCTAATCCCTTCTCTCTGTGTCAGAAAATAAAGAACTGTCAACAGTGTACAACTTCTCTATAAACATAATGTGTGGTTCTAATCCCTTCTCTCTGTGTCAGAAAATAAAGAACTGTCAACAGTGTACAACACCTCTATACACATAATGTGTGGTTCTAATCCCTTCTCTCTGTGTCAGAAAATATAGAACAAACAGTCAACAGTGTACAACTTCTCTATAAACATAATGTGTGGCTCTAATCCTTTCTCTCTGTGTCAGAAAATATAGAACTGTCAATAGTGTACAACATCTCTATACACATAATGTGTGGTTCTAATCCCTTCTCTCTGTGTCAGAAAATAAAGAACTGTCAACAGTGTACAACTTCTCTATAAACATAATGTGTGGTTCTAATCCCTTCTCTCTGTGTCAGAAAATATAGAACTGTCAACAGTGTACAACATCTCTATACACATAATGTGTGGTTCTAATCCCTTCTCTCTGTGTCAGAAAATATAGAACAAACAGTCAACAGTGTACAACTTCTCTATAAACATAATGTGTGGCTCTAATCCCTTCTCTCTGTGTCAGAAAATAAAGAATAAAGAACAAACAGTCAACAGTGTAATTAAATTAAAAACAAATCATCAAAAGAATTTATATTCTAGACCCCACCAATGCCGATGTGTTAAAGCTATAGAAATAACTCCTTAGACCTTAAATCAGATGCTAGAGAAACAACAGGCCCAAGGGCCTTAACGGTCACCTGAGTACAATACAACAATTCAGAAGATCCATAAACTGACAAATGAAGCTTTGTTGCCCAACAGCAAGAAAAATAGTATGATTAGCATCAACAAAATAATTGGTCTAGTATCTATCTGCCCACCCCCCTCCCCCCATTTATCACTATTCCCATGCAGACTATTAACAAAATGTCTATTATCTAACCCCATATTATTCCTTCTCACAATGGCCTCTCTTGGCCGTTGAAGAACATTTAAAAAGATAAGTTATTTTTGTCTCATTTTTATTGATCTATTATTTCCAAGTCATTAAAACTATGAAAGTACTTTTTTTATTATACAATAAATTTTCTTGCATAATTCTCTTATTCTATTAAGCTTTCAAATACATTATGTACATTGATTAATTATCAAAGGTGAATGGCAAAGGGGAATAAATTTGCTCAGTAGAATACAAGTTAATAGAGCCCTGGCCAGGACCAGAAAACTTGACTAAATGGTCCAGGTGTTCAAAATTCTGGTAAAAATACCCTTGCATATTAAAACTTTTACTCCGTTTGCCTTGAACATCCAGAGAAGCATAGAAGATTTTCAAAGAAATGCATTTTCATCATATTATTAAATAAACAAAGCCCCATCCTTACATCAGATCATCTGACCCATTGGCCACGAACTCACAATTCTGGAAGAAGCACCCTTTCTCATCATAACTATACACTTGTTTCTTTAGTTTATAACCAGTAGTAGATAAAAAATAAAATATTTTCACTATATACATGTAATCAATAGAGCTCTCCCCCCCCCCCCCCCCCCCCCCGAAACCCCTGACCCAGAGGCCATGAATTTCACAATTTTGGAAGAGGCATTCTTCCTTATCATAACCATGCACTTCCTTTGTTTGAAAAATACCCAGGAGCAGAGAAGAAAATTTTTAAAGAATTCATGCATTTTCCCTACATAACCAATAGAGCCCCCCCCCCCCAACACCAGAACCCCTGACCCTGGGGCCATGCAATTCACAATTTTGGAAGAGGCACTCTTGCTCATCATAACTATGTACTTAGTTACTTTATTTAATACCCAGGAGCAAAGAAGAAGATTTTCAAAGAATTCATGCATGTTCACTACATAATCAATAGAACCCCGTCCTAACACCAGAGCTCCTGACCCTGGGGCCATGAGATTCACAATTTTGAAAGAGGCACTCTTGCTCTTCATAACTATGTATTTAGTTACTTTATTTAATACCCAGGAGCAGAGAAGAAGATTTTCAAAGAAATAATGCACTTTCACTATATGATCTATATAGCCCCACCCTAGCACCAGAACCCCTGACCCTGGGGCCATGAATTTCACAGTTTTGGTAGAGGGCTCAATTATTATTACTATGATGCCAACAGTTTGACTGCTTGATGTCCAGGAGTAAAGAAGAAGATTTTTAAAGATTGCATTATTTTCAGTGGTTTAAGCCCCACCCCTCAAGCCCCAGGGGGGCAGGGACCATGAAATTCACAATTTTTGTTCCCCTTCACCCATAGATGCTATATGCCAAATTTGGTTGAAATTGGTTGAGCGGTTTCAGAGAAGAAGCTAAAAATGTTCAAATGTTAACACACGATGCACGACGCACAACGCACGACGACGGACGAGAACAGATAGCAAAAGGTCACCTGAGTGACTCAGGTGACCTAAAAATAGAAAATCTGCAAAGCAACTCCACATGCTGGTATAAAGTAATCACACTTGTATGTTCAAGTCCAGTTTATATATTAAATGTAAGACAGTTTAGTATAAAGCTACGAAATAATGAATGATGATGCTAATTATGAATTAAATGAATAAATTTTCTCTGTTACAAATGGGGGCATGGTGTTTTTGTGTAACCTTGGTTCCAACTCCTTGTACTGACATGGATTTTTTTTGTTTTCTGCTCTTTGGTTACCTTGGTTCTATGTAGACACAGTCACCCACTCAGAACACCTCATCCTTGTTCTTACAGTTAAATACTGACATTTTTTGTGACCTTGGTTCTATGTAGAACCTATGTATGTCACTCACTCGAAATGTTTCATCCTTGTTCAGTTGTACTTATAGTTAAATATTGACAAGTTACACATGGGGATGTTTTTTTGTTAGTGTACCTTGGTTCTATGTAGACAAAGTCACCCACTCGGAACGTCTCGTCCTTGTACTTAAAGCAGTCTTCTCCATCTCTCTCTGACTGTTAAATGCAAAAAGAAAAAAAAGTAAAAAAAGAAAAACTAATGAATAAATCAGTAAATATAAAATAATAGTAAAAATTTAAACAAGAGGCCCATGGGCCACTTTGCTCACCTGAGCACTTCAGCTAGGAAAAAGCAGAAATCAGTCATTATAATATTGAAAAGTTTAAATAATAGTGGTCTTGGGAAGGGGAGGGGAGTGTTATGATTTGAACAAACTTGAATCTACACTATCTGAGGATGCTTCTATATTTCTATGACTAATCATGACATGTAGATTTTTTCAAGATTATTTCCTATGCATTTATCTTCTATTCCATTGTAAAACTTTGATCACCCATTTTGGCCTCTCCCTACCCCCCCCCACCCCCCCCACCCCACCCCGGTCATGATTTGAATCTACTCTCCCTGAGGATGCTTCCATATGGATATGATAAATCATGCTAAATCATGGCTTTGCTGTTCATGAGAAGATGACTTTTTACATATCTTTCCTAATGTATTCCTTTGTAAAACCTTGATCACCCATTGTGACCCCACCCTTCCCCCAGGGGTCATGATTTGAATCCAGGATCCACCTCTATAAACACTATACCCACACAGCCAAAATCCAGGGTCCACCCCTATAAACACTATACCCACACAGCCAAAATCCATGATCCACCCTTTTACAATACATGTATGTACTCACACAGCCAGAATCCAGGATCCTCTCCTCTGACTCCCGTTTTGATTGTTTATCCTCATCTTCTTTCTGTTCCTGCTCAAACTTTTTCTGTTTCTCAACTTCTAGGGCAGCCGTCAGATGTTTCTCCTGGTAACTGAGAGCTGGGGTGAGGAGTCTCTCCCCGTTACGGCAAATCTCGTCACGCTGCTTAATAAAGAACATCTGCATCTCCACGGCATCCTCATATAACTGTCAAATTGGAGAGTTAAATCAAACGTTAGACAGACAGTATACATGTACAACTGTCAACAGTGGAGAGATAAATCAGACGTTAAACAGACAATATACAGGTCTGGAGTGTAAAATATGACTCACATTTTTATTTAGTAAGCTTTCTTTAAAATGAAAAAGAAAATACATGTAGGAAATACTGCTTGAAACTCACTCTCTTTTATCATATCATGCACTGACCTTTACACATATCTAAGTTTGATATTTTCATCACCTGTTCAAATTTTGAAATTCACAAAATGTGCAGTGATTAGTTTGAAATTATGGAATAACTGTTTCAAGTTCACTCACCTGAGAATCTGTCCTACTGAGTCGTCGAGCACGCTCAAACACCTTAAACATGTCTTCCTGGAACCTGTCCATTCTGATGTATCGACCCTAAAACACAGAGATGACTCAGACTCAGTTAACATGAATATTAAATGTATCGAACCTAAAACACAGGGACAACAAACTCAGTTAACATAATTACTAAATGTATCGAACCTAAAACAAAGACAAGACTCAAACTCAGTTAACATGAATACTAAATGTATCAGCCCTAAAACACATAGATGACTCAAACTCAGTGAACATGAATACTAAATGTATGGACCCTAAAACACAGAGATGACTCAAACTCAGTTAACATGATATACTAAATGTATTGAACCTAAAACACAGAGGTCACTTAAACTATTTTAACATGAATACTAAATGTATCGACCCTAAAACACAAAGATGACTCAGACTCAATTAACATGAATACTAAATGTATCGACCCTAAAACACAGAGATGACTCAGACTCAGTTAACATAAATACTAAATGTATAAACCCTAAAACACAGAGATGACTTAAACACAGTTAACATGAATACTAAACAATTTATTATTCAATTGAGAAAATCAGAAGCATATTTTTCATTCAATAAATAGATCAATTCAGTGCTTACTTTTTCCACATTTCTTTTGATCTGATCAAAGGTCAGAGGCTTCCTACAAAACAAAAGTTCAATGGTATCACAAAGGCACAACAAACAACAGAATTTCTCCCACTACATGTATGGCAAAAAAAAAGTTTAATTACAAGGGCACAACAATGAACCTAATTTCTCCCACTACATCTATGGGAGAAAAAAAACTAGAACTGTCCAAAAGGGACAAATACCCCCCGCTGGGTTTTTCAGAGGTGCCAAATCACTAATATTTTATGGATCTATGAGGTGTTCACAATTTTCTTATTAACATTTAGAGTGAAAAAAATAATTGCTCATTATATTTTTTTTAATGAATGAAACCAAGAACAACCTAATAAAACATCAATACCAATACATTGTAATTACATTCTTCTTTAATACATTGAAAAAATAAATTGCAACTATCTGTCATCTTTTTGAGACATGACATTCTGCAAATTGATTTTTGAAAAAAAAATCAATTAATTACAAAATCAAATTAATCTTGATAACTTTATATCAAATTCATTTTAAAAATGAAAGGCTGGTCATCCTTTAACTATGTACTATGACAGACAATAAATTACAATTAAGAGAATTAAAGAACAGAGATCTTTAAATTCCCAGGAGATATAGATAACACATGCTTGATCAGAGATGCCCTAACAACGTCCCACACTGAACTCATTAATTTATCTCTAACTGGATGATGTCCACTCATTACTCCCAAGGGACAAATGGATTTACACTATCTGCTGTGTAATGTAAAAATTGTTTTTAATACTTGGTGATTTTTTTTTGTTTGTTTTAATGAATAGTTTTAAGCTGTAGTTCACATTTTTGTACAGATGTTCTAGATTCTGTGTCTCAAACCTTAGAAATAAACCCAAAATGACTAAGTCAATAAAAATGAAAAAAAAAACTGTAAAATGCAGAAAAATTACCAAATAATGTTGAAAATACCAGGTGCACATCTTCATATGGTAAATAATGAGTGTACAAATTTTCATACAATTCTATGAAATAGTCTTTGAGAAAAGGTCAGGACAAAACCACATAATAAAAATGAAAAAAACACCTGTAAAATGCAGAAAAATTATTCAATCATGATGAAAATACCAGGTGCAAATCTTCATATGGTGAATAATAAGTGTACAAATTTTTAGACAAATCTATGCAATAGTCTCTGAGAAACGCTCTGGACAAAATCTTGTCTACAGACAGACGAACAGACAGACGGACATGGTGATTCCAATATACCCCCCCTAAACTTCGTTTGCGGGGGGTATAAAAAGAGTAAAGCACCTCTTTGATTTCTAGGACAAGAGGCCAATGGGCCACAACACTACAAATGATTGCTTGATTGTATGTTGTTTTACGTCACCATTTACCGGTGAAGGGGTTCAAATTTAGACTTTACTCGGCACTCAGGACCATTGAGAAGTGAGGGATCTTTATCATGCCAATGCCTGCTATGACACGGGGCCTCAGTTTTTAAAGACCCGCAACTTTCACTTCTACATGCTGAGTGCTTGGTGAAGGAACAGTTGCTACCTATTTTTTATCGACTTAGGTCAGTCGCAACAGAAATATATATGACCTTCCGACCACAGAGCGAGCCCTCTACCAACTGACCTACCATGACGATCACTAGCAATAAGGAAGCTATGATCTAACCGGTGTTGAATACACACAACATTGGGATGATTTAATATCAATACAATCAACATGAGAAGTCTAGAGGAGATTTCCTGTACACAGGCAGTATGTAAAATTTAGATCTCTGAGGTAGGGCCAAATTCTTTTTTTTAAAACAGCTGATATACACAACTTAGGTATGTTTTGCTTATTAATATGATTTAGTGTGCTCTTGCAATGCTTGAAAAGATTCTTTCTAATCCCTGTAAAATTCTTATCCCCTTTTGTAGCCTCTATTTAAAAGTTACTTACTCCTTCATTTTGGACACTGCTCCAATACAACAGTAACTAATTCATTAGTTAGTTATACCTTCAGTTTGGATGTGCTCCAATACAACAGTAACTAATTCACTAGTTAGTTACAACTTCAGTTTGGATGTGCTCCAATACAACAGTAACTAAATCACTAGTTACCATGGTTACTTACTCTTTCAGTTTGGACGTCTCTAAATCCTCATCTGGGTCTCTCTCTGGAAGCTCCGCAAACGAGTCACTATAGCAACGACCCTCTTCATCCTGTCATAGACAAGTAGAGTATTTCACCATTAATTTTATTTATAGCAATATGGAGATTCTCATCTCTTTCAATATTTTTTATTTTAAATTTTACAGAAAATAGATTCTGATATTTCCAAGAATATTGAATTCTTTTGGGTGAAACAAGGAATTGTTAGTACACTGACAAAGTTTAAAAGAATCCAATGGTGGTTGTAGGTAGATATAAATAGATCACTGTATGTTAATTCACCTGGTGATTGTAGGTATAGATATAAATAATTTACCTGGTGATTATAAATACATGTAGATATAGATAGGACATGCTTGATAATTTACCTGGTAAATGTAGGCAGATATAGATAATTTACCTGGTGATTGTAGGTAGATATAGATAATTTACCTGGTGATTGTAGGTAGATATAAATAGATTGGTCATCATCTCCATGACTAGAGCCCTCACATCTGGGACATCATTTGTTCCATCATCTGTCAGCTCCATTTTCTTCTCCAAAACGAGACGCTGTAGCGTCAGGGCGTCCTACAAACAGACACAAATCAAAAACAATGCTGTAATGTTGGGTGTTCTGAGATTAAAACAAACAGTATCACAATTTATTAAAGGTCAGACAAGAAATATCAGAACAGTCAGCCAATCAGATTTCAGCATTACAAGTCAGATAATAAATATCAGAACAGTCAGCCAATCAGACTTCAGCATTACAGGTCATACATAACCATGGATATAATCACTGGAAAAGGGGGAATTAGACATACGTTTACGTTTTAACATGTTTAAAGAAAAATATTTAGTTCACTCTATTTAATTAGGAAACAAAGATGAGTAAAATTTTCACAATTTCAACCTGAGTGAACTTCTGGGAAGTTGTTTTTTTTTCTATAAAAATATATCTGTTACAACACTGTGATTGAATTTACTTAATAGTCCAAACTTGCTTTCTCAAACTCAATGGGACTAAGAAAAAAACTTTGAGATATCTGAAGATTTGAGATATCAGGGGTAAAATACTTTGAGAATAAGTAGTTGGGACTTCCAAATCACTTCAACATGTCCATGGTATTTGAGATATCAGCGAATGAGATACTGAAGTTCAACTGTATTTAATCAATAAATACCTTGTAAATGAGTGAGTCTGGTTCATTATATTTACAAGCATTGTCAAACATCTGTACAAAGTCCGCAGTGATGTCTTCTATTGATTCATACTGATTCTGTTGGACCTTCAGTAGAATTTTCTGCATGTCGATTGGTCGCTTAATGACCTCGTAATAATCCGGGTACTCCTGTTACAAGATGGGGACAGTTTATATACAAATATAACGTGTCTGTATTGGATTCTTCAAGAATTAGACATTTATAGAGTACACTTACAGTTTTCAGTGGCAGCTTCAGGAAGGGGAGGGCAAGGTCACGACCTTTAGCATCCTGGTAATTACTGACTGCGTCGTACATTTCCTGGAGACGAACAGGAAGCAGAGTCTGGGACTTTGCCTTGAGACGACTGACCAATGAAAGGGGGTTATCATCATAATCACTCAAATCACAGGTATATTAAAGTGAATTTACAATGTAAAAATATTTAAATCAAGCAATATACATACTGAAAAATAAATAAGATCTGTAATCTATTTATAGAATCTGTAATTAGAATTTACTTCAACATCTCCCTCTTTCAAATTTATCATTCATATAAATTACTTTAAAATATCATTATCAGATATCTCATTCTAACATGTTCTAAGATATCAGCTACTCTTAAGATATTAGATACTTCATAGACAGATAGATATCAGATACTTTTTAGGTATCAGATAATTCTTACATATCAGAAACTCTTAAGATAACAGGTAGTTCATAGATATTTCTTAGATATCAGATACTTCTAGATATCAGATACTCATAGAGATAATTCTTATATAACTATGAGCATGATGTTACTATTTCTACATTTACTGTAGCATTTACATTATTTTTAACGTCATTGATCACCAGCATCTGAAATAGTTCTAAACATTCAACTAACATTAGGTAAAAAATAACTTCAAAGGAACCAACAACTTGACAAATTCATGCAGTAAGATTTTTATTACCCTCTTGGTTTTTCAGCTTTTTTTCCAATGCTATAAATAGCACAACAAAGTAAGATACTCAGATAAGCCTAAAGCTATGAATAACATTTAAATATCTCAGATTTGCTGAACATAAATGAAGTTTGACAAGATGCCTCCACAGCCATCATGAAGATGCAGCAACAGCCATCAAAAACATGAAGTCCGAAATATATTTTAACAGAATTTAAATCCATAAGGTGCTAAATATTTGAAATGGAATAAACATTCATGGAAACCAGGAAAATATATATAAATATATATAGGACATCCCCAAAAAAATAGCTGACTATTAAGGGGTATTGAAAACAGATTTATTTAAGAGATATTATGATTTAGTTTGTGAATAAAGAGATCAAGCGCATATGCTGTGCATTTACGTTTTATTTACAGCCTGGTACAAAAATGAAAAAAAAAATATGGAAATTGTAATGGCTTTACATATATTACAGTTACTTTTGAATATACATTGCAAACAAAAATGATAATGAGAGGTCTAAAGAAAAATCATCCAAGTAATCGGGTTCTCAGTCAGAAAATTAAGCGTCGAGTAACCAGTTACTAAATACTGTCCGATTTATTAACAACACTACACTAAATACACGTATAAAGTACAACATGTACAAAAATGGAGAATTAAAGCAAAATATGAAATAAAATAAATAAATCCTAAAACACTCTGCATTCAGAAAAAAGTTAGAGAAAGTGCAAGAGTATAGAGTGCTGGGAACTAGCAAAGCAGTACATCTAAATCACTGTTAATAATAATTATTATGTCCTGAATGAATAATTCTCGCACTAAATAGTGCTATCAAATACAAGAGAATGTTCACATGTTTTATATATTGTAAATCATAATTATATATATGTTAAATATAAAACATTTCATTCAATGACTCTAATGATAATAATTTGATTTGAACATTTCCCCCCTCCCTATCCCCCTATCTGTTCCCCAATCAAAGTACACACTGCCTTTCATACAGTATTAATAAAGTTTTAATTCATAATCACTTTGTTATCTGCTTGTCTAATTCATGTTATGACTACAAAAACTACAGCAGCTAATAAGAGAGTGATTCCATCAGGATTAATCAAGCACTGAGAAAAAGTTTGTTTCTTTTTCTACTGTGGTCTTTTTTCTTTTAATGTAAATTTCATTTAGAAAAGAAACTCAAGCATTTCAAAACAATAGGAAAATTCATTGTATAATGAATTTTATTATTAAAAGAAGTGGATCCAGCCTTAAATTTGTTCTTCTTACTGAGATCAAATCATGATGAAACCCTAATGAGAGATGGGTGTATATATATAAAGAAGAGAGGAAGCACAACACTTACAGGTACCTTTTGCTGAGCGCCGCTCGCCGGGACTCGATCACATGACAGATCTGTTTCCACTTTGTTTTGAGGACTTTCTCCAGCTGTTCGGCGTCCTGGTACACCAGCGATTCCTCCTCATTGTAGAGACGTGCGTTATTAAACAGGCGCTCGAAATCCGTGATAATATGCTGCTCACTGGGGTACTACAGAGAGAAAAGTTCAGTGGGATATTTCACAAGTTCTTAACATAAGGAACATTTGCCTTGTTTGTCAAGAATTTGGCCTCCATCATTGACAGGCCAATATTCACCTTGTCCACTGAGAGTTTGGCATCTATCAATCACTGACAGGTCATTAATTACCTTATCTGCCCTGAGTTTGGCTTCTATCATTGACAGGTCAATAATTACCTTCTGTGCTATTAGTTTGGCCTCTATCATTGAATGGTCAATAATTACCTTGTTTGCCCTGAGTTTGGCTTTTACCATTGAAAGGTCAATAATTACCTGGTCTGCCCTGAGTTTGGCCACTGTCATTGACAGGTCAATAATTTCCTGGTCTGCCCTGAGTTTGGCCACTATCATTGAAAGGTCAATAATTACCTTGTCTGCCCTGAGTTTGGCCTCTATCATTGAAAAGTCAATAATTACCTTGTCTGCCCTGGGTTTGACCTGTATCATTGAAAGGTCAATAATTACCTTGTCTGCCTTGAGTTTGGTTTTTATCATTGAAAGGTCAATAATTACCTTGTCTGTTCTGAGATTGGCCTCTAGCATTGACAGGGTCAATAATTACCTTGTCTGCCCTGAGTTTGGCCTCTATCATTGACAGGTCAATAATTACCTTGTCTGTCCTGAGTTTGGCCTCTATCATTGACAGGTCAATAATTACCTTGTTGGCCCTGAGTTTGGCCTCTATCATTGACAGGTCAATAATTACCTTGTCGGCCCTGAGTTTGGCCTCTATCATTGACAGGTCTATAGGATTTGTGATGACTTGATAGTAGTCAGGGTAGTCCCTCTTTGATGGTAGCTGCATGAAGATGTATCTTAATGGTCGTCCATCGGGGTCCTACAATGATACAGTAAGGATTCAGTTAATGATACAGTAATTATTCAGTAGTATCAAGTAGGTCCTACAATGATACAGTAAGGATTCACTAATGATACAGTAATTATTCCATAACCTCCACATGTTAACTCTGACTTACCGTGGCATCAAACACGGATCTGTACAGTGTCCATAGCCTGCGTTTCATCATCTCCTCTGGAGTTGCTCGCTTTGCACGCTTCTTATCGCTGTCAGAGAGCCCGGTGCCTCGGCGCTGCTTACTGGAGGAACTTGCCTGGCTGTCCTCATCAAAAAACTCACGAGAAATCTTCTGGAACAGAAACAACCCTTATCACATTTATACTGTCTCATGTTAAAAATCTTCATCAACAGACTAAGTTTGAAGTTCTCTACAACTGACTGAGTTAGAAGTCTTCTAGTATAGAACTAAGCCTAATACATTTATATTGTCTAGGGACCAAGTTCGAAACTCCAGAACAGAAACAAGCCAACATTACCCTGGCCTCTACAAAAACTTGCATTATGTTTTGTTCTTCACTGACAATGCCCAAACAAATAAATATGTTATACACCAAATATTTACTATATTTTCAAACCTTTTAAAGGATGAGAGGCCCATGGGCCTCAACACTGAGTCAGATTTCACTTCCTGAGAAAAGAAAAAGTAAATAAAAGAAACCCCAAGGATGAAATGCTTGATGTCAACAATTTTAACCTATAAAAACAACATGAAAATTTCTAGGATCTCCGTGTTAATAAATCATTTGCATTGGGGTTAATTTTGTGGAAGTTAAAAGAACTGACAAACACATACATAACCTAATGTTATGTACCTGTTTTTAAAACCATTTGGGTGGTGTTAAATTATGCGAAACTTCACTCATCATTGTGATTTTCTGACAAAATTAATTTTAATTTTTCCTTAAACACTTTTTAGCTAACATTCCCAATGAAAATAAATACCGTAAATCTGGAAATTTTTACGTCGATTTATATTTGCGAATCTGGGTCAAAAAGCTGTTGATCAATTTTTACGTTTCAAAATTTTGCAAACTGTCATTGGCACTAAAATTAAAAAGCGCTTAAAATTTTCAACACAGTTTATAAGTTACGCATGTACATACAATAAATTACACATATACTTACAGTATTAAATGATGCCAACGTTGTTAGATAAAACAAATGGCCTCTCTTTCTTGGAGAAATACTTTAAAAGAGAAATACTGCATGTCAAACCATCGTAGTGTAGGTAAGTACTCTCCACGCACGGAATATCATGTCGGGTAATTACATAAATTAGTTTGTAGAATAAACAGGTTTCTTAAAATGACCACTGCTTACTAGCACCTGTTCACGGGGTAAAAACAGACACCAGCTTTCACCAAAATTTTCCTTTACATTTTTAGTTGCTTATTTTTATGAAAAATATTTTTGCGAATGCAATGCACGCGCAAATTTGCTAAAAATTTATCTACAGTAAAAATTTCCAGATTTACGGTATCACTATTGCTTTAGAAGAAAAAAAATATCTTACACAGATAGAAAAATGTGTTTTGTGCACCCAGGAAACACTATTACAAAGTCAATCATTTTTTAAAAAAGATTTTTAAAGATTTTTCCTATATATTTCTTCGTAAAACTTTGATCTTTTGTGGCCCAGCCTATGCCAGGGTATCATGATTTGAACAAATTTGAATATACATAATGTAGTGAAGCTTTCACAAAAGTTTTGTCTAGACTGGTCCAGTGGTTCTTGAGAAAATTTTTGAAAGATGCCAGTAATATTTCACTAATTCTAAATTATCTCCCCTTAGAAGATGACATGGTCCTTCATTTGAATACCCTTCACCAAAAGATAATTTGTGGAAGTATGGTTGAAACTGGCCAGTGGTTTTTGACAAGAGACAAATTTGAAAAGTATTAGATGGACAGACAGCTAGACAGACAGATGTCATACAAAAAGTGATCAGAAAAGCCCACTTGAACTTTTTAGCTCAGATGAACTAACAAGATCTTTTTTTTTAAAATTTTTCTCACATGCTTTGTTAATTTCATGATGAAACTAGAAGTAAGCAATGTGCTCACAAAATGATACCCCCGTCCCCACTTCCAGGACAGTGTAATGGTAAAGTCCATGTTTTGCTATCAGAAAGCCCAAATATCTGTACAATCAAAATGTAAGACAGTGCACAATGGCACTATGTAATAAAGATTCTGTGATAGCCTCATTGAATTTTAATCAGTGGTAAAGGAGGAGTTTTAAATGAGAGATGGGTACCCCCAATATTATAGAAAGAATGTCAGTGTCCATGCTTTGCTATGGGTAACAGGACAGACGGGAGGACAGACAGATGGGACAGACAGACTGAGACCCCCGTCACTATATACCCCTGCTTTTCAAGTGGGAGGCATAAAAAAACAATAAGTGAAGCCATTCAAGAATGTTATCCAGAAAAGAAGGAGATGCTTGTTCCTCAATGGTTGAACATAAAACCCTACAACTCCATCAAAGCTCCCTACTGCTGCACCACCAACAGGAAATTATAAGTTTTTTTACCTTAATGTTTGACATTAATAAAAGTTTAGATTATGTAGCATTCAATCTTAACTGATACAGACACATCAACAAAAGCTGAGATTTGGTAAAAGCCTTTAATCTGCCTGTGTATGTGTGGGGTAGGGTGGGGTGGGGTGGGGGATAAAGTCCCCTGAATTTCTTCTCACTTACCATCACGGGCAGGTCAAACTGAGAAGAGGAAATGTCATCCAGACTCAGATCCTGGTAATAAAGAACTAACATCAACACCACAGACATTTACTGACAGTCTTTCTCTATGTTCAATCATCATTTCAATAACACATTTGTATCTTATCTGCTTTAAAAGTTTATTGAAAAATGTTCAGGGAAAAGTTTTTCACTTTTCAATTTAAATGCATGTTTTAAAATACTGATATAAACTTTAATAACCTAATAGATAACAGTTTATAAAAGAATAAGAAAAAATTTAAATAATATAAATGTAATAATTACAGGCAGGATGCAAGCAAGCATTATGGGTAATGCAACTGAATATGCTGACTACTAGAGTGTTGTAACACTACTCCCTCCCCTTTCCCCCTTTAATTCTTAAATATGGTACAGCCAATGTAAAAGCACCTGAGAAAAAATTCACAATGAACATTACAAAGTTTTAAAACAAGAGGTCCAAGGGTCTTGAATCGCTCTTCTTATCTAAGCCTCTTAATATCCTTAATATTTAGATAAAACCTTGAAATTCAACAAGAGGCCCATGGGCCACAGCGCTCACCTGAGTAACTTTGGCCTTGCTGTTTTTCACCCGATTTCTCCCCCCCCCCCCCCCCCCCCCCCGTAGTACTTATTGTGGCCCCTATATATTTCAATGTAAAACTTGGATTCCCTATTGTGGCCCCGCCCTACCCCCGGGGGTCATGATCTGAACAATTTAGAATCTACATAACCCCAGCATGCTTCCAAGTAAGTTTCAGCTTTTCTGGCCCAGTGGTTCTTGAGAAGAAGATTTTAAAAGATTTTTCCTATATATTTCAATGTAAAACTTGGATTCCCTATTAAGGCCCCGCCCTACCCCCGGGGGTCATGATTTGAACAATTTAGAATCTACACTACCCCAGCATGCTTCCACATAAGTTTCAGCTTTTCTGGCCCAGTGGTTCTTGAGAAGAATATTTTAAAAGATTTTTCCTATATATTTCAATGTAAAACTTGGATTCCCTATTGTGGCCCCGCCCTACCCCCGGGGGTCATGATTTGAACAATTTAGAATCTACACTACCCCAGCATGCTTCCACATAAGTTTCAGCTTTTCAGGTCCAGTGGTTCTTGAGAAGAAGATTTTTAAAGATTTTTCCTATATATTTCAATGTAAAACTTGGATTTTCTATTGTGGCCCTGCCCTACCCCCGGGGGTCATGATTTGAATAATTTAGAATCTACACTACCCCAGCATGCTTCCACATAAGTTTCAGCTTTTCAGGCCCAGTTGTTCTTGAGGAGAAGATTTTTAAAGATTTTTCCTAGATATTTCAATGTAAAACTTGGATTCCCTATTATGGCCCCGCCCTACCCCTGGGGGTCATGATTTGAACAATTTAGAATCTACACTACCCCAGGATGCTTCCATATAAGTTTCAGCTTTACTGGCCCTGTGGTTCTTGAGAAGATTTTTTAATGACCCCACCCTATTTTTGTCTTCTCTTGATTATCTCCCCTTGTGAGGGGACTTGGCCCTTCATTTTAACAATTTAAATTCCCCTTCACCCAAGGATGCTTTGTACCAAGTTTGGTCAAAATTGGCCCAGTGGTTCTTGAGAAGAAGTCAAAAATGTGAAAAGTTTACAGACGGACGGACAGACAGACAGACAGACGGACAGACGGACGGACGGACGACGGACAAAATGTGATCAGAAAAGCTCACTTGAGCCTTCGGCTCAGGTGAGCTAAAAAGCAGGTTAATGTGACCTACTTTTTGACTCTGTGAACCAAAATGAATCAACTGACATTTGATGATTCTAAGCTTATTATTTTTAATAAATAGATATAGTCTTGAAATTCCAAAAGTAGGACACCATGACCTACTGTTTAGTTGAATCACTCTGAGGTATGCACCAACTGACAAAGTTTGATGATTTTAAGCCAATTAGTATCTGAAATATTAAAATATATACATGGAATTCCAAAAGTTGGTCACCATGACCTACTTTTTAGCTGACACATTCCGAGGAACCAAGATGTATCAACTGACAAAGTTTGATGATTTTAAGCCTATTATCATCCAAAATATTTAGATATAGCCATAAAATTCAAGAAGTAGGTCATTGTGACCTACTTTTTGGTTGACACACTCTGAAGACCCAAGATGCATCAACTAAAAAAACTTTGATGATTCTAAGCCACTTAATATCCAAATATTTAGATATAGCCATGAAATTCCAAAAGTAGGTCAGGAAGAACTACTTCTTGATTGTCACACTTCAAGAACACAAGATGCATCAACTGACAAAGTTCGGTGACTCCAAGTCTCTTTTAATCCAAAATATTTAGATATGGTCAGGGTGACCTACTTTTTAGTTAATATACTTCGAGGACCCAAAATGCATCAACTGACAAAGTTTGATAATTCTAGGCCTCTAACTATTTGAAATATTCAGATACAACCTTCAAATTCCAAAAGTAGGTCATGGTGACCTACTTATTAGTTGACACACTCCAAGGACTCAACATGCATCAACTGACAAAGTTTGATGATTCTAGGCCAATTAGTATCTGAAATACTTTAATATACCAATAAAATTCCCAAAGTAGGTCATAGTGACCTACTTTTTGATTGACACACTCGGAGGACTCAAGATGATTCAACTGACAAAGTTTGATTCCTAGGCTTCATAGTGTCAAAAATATGCCTCTTGAACAATTTGAAAATGAATATGTGTGAAAAGCAAAAAGTAGGTTATTATGACCTACTTTCTGACAAATATGTTTCAAGGCTGCAAGTTGCATCAACTTACAAAATTTGATGATTCTAAACCTCTCAGTATCTGAAATAATGGCCTTAAATATTTTGAAAATGATTAGTCATAAAATTCAAAAAGTAGGTCATAGTGACCTACTTTTTGGTTGAAACACTTCAAAGGTTCATGATGAATTTACAGTGGGACTTATGAGGTTTTATACATCATACATGTATATCATATACTGATCTAAACAAATGGCACACTTTTTTGTTAAGACCAAAAGTCTTTTGTTTCTTTTAAGTTTCTTTTGAAAAAAATAGTCTTATTTAATAAACTTGTCTGTTTCTTAATTATACTGAATACAAAACAAACCTGTACTGTTACAGCAGTTTACAGAAGAAAAAAAAGAAAGAAATTGACCATATTAAGTGCATTTATCCTAGAACTTTTTTCCCACGTTATTTAATTTCTACAATTTATTCTGTCATAAATAAATCTCAAGATAATTGTTTATCTCATCACTGAGAAAATTGTTTAAATTTGGGAATTAAGTCTGAACATGCCATCAGCAATTGTTTTAAACTGGTACAAATTCAAATCCATTCCATGAAAATACAAAACACACCAAGCACATTGACTAACTCTGTGTCACTCTGATGTGATGAAATGTACAACACAATTTAATACAACATCTATAATCAAGTCCTATATTAAATGTAAAAGGGTTACAACATCCATAGTCAACCAATATCATTCCTACATCAAAACAGCAACACATCAAAGATGCATGATATTAGTCATTACATGCCAGCAATAAAAGGTACAAGGTCTACATCTCCACACCGGACATTACTACTTCATATGATAGAAATGTCCCTTTGTAGCAACATTTCATACAACACACAAACTCATAACTCTGTCACAAAAGGGGGGCATAATGAGGAATCTATTTCCTCAAACTGTCTGCAAAGAATACACACAAGCACAGCAGAAATAATAATGTATTAGGTTTATTACAACAACAAATCTGGGTACACATATAGAATCCACTGTCCTCAAGTTCTCAGTCATTCCAACAAGAAATCATCACAGTCCTCCCAGACATATCTGGTTTAGGACCTTTACAATACATTTACAATACATTATTGGTCTTTTTTAAAACTATAATTTCTTGGTGGGAATGCTAAATCTTGTCAGGAACAGTAACTCTGTCAGTCTTACCTTGTCAGGAACAGTAACTCTGCCAGTCTTACCTTGTTTCCTTCGAGTCGATCCAGTTCTCTCTTTCTGTCCATCATCACCTTCTGTAGAATCACAGCATGCTAAAAATAGAAACATGATAATACTTCTTTAGTATCATAGCATGCTAAAAATAGAAACATAATATTCTGTAGAATCACAGCATGCTAAAAATAAAAACAAGAGGCCCAAGGGCCTAGAATCGCTCTTCTGATAAACTGTACAACCTATCACTTCTATTTGAAGCCTCTAAGTATCCTGTATATTTAGATAAACTCTTGAAATTCCAATTCACATTCTGAGAACCCAAGATGATTCTAAGCCATCTAGTACCCGAGAGCTGGTCAGGTGACCTACTTATCACTTGTCATTCTCTTAGGACCCATCAACTAAGTATGATGATTCTAAGCCAAATATTACCTAAATATTAAAATTATAACCATAAAATTTTATAAGTAGGTCAAAGTGACCTACTTTTCAGTTGTTGTACTCCAAGGACCCAAGATGCATCAACTAACAAAGTTTGATGATTCTAAGCCAATTAGTACCCAAAATATTTAATTGAAGCCATAAATTTTCAAAAGTAGGTCACGGTGACCTACTTTTCAGTTGTTGTACTCCAAGGACCCAAGATGCATCAACTGACAAGATTTGATGATTCTAAGCCAATTAGTACCCAAAATATTTAATTAAAGCCATAAATTTTCAAAAGTAGGTCAAGGTGACCTACTTTTCAGTCAACCTACTCCAAGGACCCAAGATGCATTAACTGACAAATTTTGATGATTCTAAGCCAAATGGTTCCTGAAAATATTAAATACAGCCATAAAATTTCAAAAGTAGGTCACCTCAAGAATTATACCTACTTTTCAGTTGTCGTACTCCAAGGACCCAAGATGCATCAACTGACAAAGTTTGATGATTCTAAGCCAATACGTACTTGAAATATTTAATTAAAGCGATAAATTTTCAAAAGTAGGTCACGGTGACCTACTTTTCAGTCGACCTACTCCGAAGACCCAAGATGCATCAACTGACAAAGTTTGATGATTCTAAGCCAATTAGTACTTGAAATATTTTATTAAAGCCGTAAATTTTCAAAAGTAGGTCACGGTGACCTACTTTTCAGTCGACCTACTCCGAAGACCCACGATGCATCAACTGACAAAGTTTGATGATTCTAAGGAAATTAGTACCTGAAATATTTAATTAAAGCGATAAATTTTCAAAAGTAGGTCACGGTGACCTACTTTTCAGTCGACCTACTCCAAAGACCCAAGATGCATCAACTGACAAAGTTTGATGATTCTAAGCCAATTAGTACCTGAAATATTCAATTAAAGCCATAAATTTTTTTAAAGTAGGTCATGGTGACCTACTTTTCAGTTGACGTTTTTCGAGGACCCAAGATGCATCAACTTACAAAGTTCTATTATCATAGACTTTAAAATGTCCAAATTATGCCTCTAAAACGCTTTGAAATCGAATGCCTGTAAAGGTCAAAAAGTAGGTCACTGTGACCTACTTTTTAATAAATATGTTTTATGGCCCCAAGATGCATCATCTTACAAGATTTAATGATTCTAAACCTCTCGGTATTCGAATTAATGACCTTAATTGTTTTGAAAAAGATTAGCCATAAAATTCAGAAAGTAGGTCAAGGTGACCTACTTTTTAGTTGACGTACTTTGAGGACCCAAGATGCATCAACTGACAAAGTTTGATGATCATAGGCCTTAAATTGTTCAAAATATGCCTCTAAATCATTTTGAAAAAGAATGGCCTCAAAATTTAAAAAGTAGGTCACCGTGACCTACTTTTGAGTCAACATGATATGAGGTCCTTAGATGCATCAACTGACAAGATTTGATGATCCTAGTCCTTATAGTAAGCAAAATATCAACATTTTAATAAAATGTAATTTTTGGTCAACTTTGAAGTGACCTTGAGACCATGCCCTTTGCCCCAGGGTATATCCCCATGCAAATTTTAATCTAGAACATATCCTCATCCTTTTGTGTAAGTTTGGTGATAATCTGCCCAGTGGTTCTTGAGAAGAAGATTTTTTAGCAACCAGTACTTTTGTTTCTATTTTCCTAATTATCTCTCCTTGTTTAAGGGTCAAAACCCTAGTTTTAGTAAACAAGAGGCCCAAGGGCCTTAACGGTCCCGTGAGTATGATACAACAATTTAAAGGATGCAGAGAGTATAAAATGAACTGAAAGGTGAAGCTTTGTTGCCCAAAAGCAAGAAAAATAGAGTGATCATGATCAACAAAATAATTGGTCTTAATATTCATTAACAGTTCATAAATTAGGTTCTAATCTGTTCCCCATTTATCACTATCACCATACAGTATATTAACAAATTATCAATGCTTCTGTACTATTTTAATTCTTTGTTGAAATCTCTTACATTGGCCTCTCTTGGTCTTTGATGAACATTTAATAAGATAAGTTATTTTTGTCTCATTTTTATTTATCTACTACTTACAAGTCTAGTATCTGATCATTAAAACTATGAAAGTACTTTTTGTATTATACAATAAAAGTTTTTGCATAATTCTCTTATTCTATTTACCTTTCAAGTACATTATTTACAGTGATAAATTATCAAAAGTAAATGGCAAAGGGGAATAACTCCTCTCAGTAGAATACAAACTAATAGAGCCCTGGCCAGGACCAGAACACTTGACCAAATGGTCCAGATGTTCAAAAATCTGGTAAAAATTCCCTTCCTTATAAAAACTTTTACTCTGTTTGCCTCAGATATGCCCAGGTGCGGAAAAGATTTTTAAATAAACAATGCATTTTTACTACAGATTCACTATATTATCAATAGAGCCCCCCCCCCCCCCCCCCCCGAAACACCAGAGCTTCTGACCCTGGGACCATACGTTTGCTCATCATAACTAATCACTTTGTTTATCTGCTTAACACTAAGGAGCAAAACAGGATTATTTAATAGAATTAATGCATTTTCACTAAATTATCAAGAGCCCCACCCTCACACCAGCACATCTGACCCAGGGGTCATGAAATTCACTACTCTGGAAGAAGCACGCTTGCTTATCATAACTATACACTTAGCCTCTTTGCTTTTTTAACCAGAAGAAGAAAAGAATATTTTCAAAGAAATTTTGCTTTTTCACTTTATAATCAATAGAAGCCCCCCCCCCCCCAACCCTTAAACCTGGGGTCATAAAATTCACAATTTTGGAAGAGGCACTCTTGTTCATCATAACTATGTACTTAGTTAGCCCCGCCCTAGCACCAGAACTCCTGTCCCCGGGGCCATGAATTTCACAATTTTGGAAGAGGCATCCTTGCTTATCATAACAATGTACTTAGTTTGTTTAAATAATACCCAGGTGCAGAGAAAAAGATTTTTAAAGAATTAAAACATTTTCATTTTATAATCAATAGAGCCCCACCCTAACACCAGAACCCCTGATCCAGGGGCCACGAATTTCACAATTTTGAAAGATGCATCCTTGATTATCATAACTATGTATTTCATGTGTTTCAATAATACCCAGGAGTAGAGAAAAAGATTTTCAAAGAATTAATGCATTTTCATTATATAATCAATAGAGCCCCACCCTAGCACCAGAACCCCTGATCCAGGGGCCAAGAAATTCACAATTTTGAAAGAGGCACTCTTGCTCATCATAACTATATACTTAGTTACTGAATTTAATACCCAGGAGCAGAGAAGAAGATTTTCAAAGAATTAATGCATTTTCACTATATAATCAATAGAGTCCCATCCTAACACTAGAACTCCTGACCCTGGGGCCATGAAATTCACAATTTTGGAAGAGGCACTCTTGCTCATCCTTACTATGTACTTAGTAAGTTTATTAAATACCCAGGAGCAGAGAAGAAGATTTTCAATGAATAAATGCATTTTCACTATATAATCAATAGAGCCCCGCCCTAACACCAGAACCCCTGACCCTGGGGCCATGAATTTCACAATTTTTGGAAGAGGCACTCTTACTCATCATAACTATATACTAAGTTAGTTTATTTAATACCCAGGAGCAGAGAAGAAGATTTTCAAAGAATTAATGCATTTTCACTATATAATCAATAGAGCCCCGCCCGAACACCAGAACCCCTGCCCCTGGGGCTATGAATTTCACAACTTTGGAAGAGTCACTCTTACTCATCATAACTATATACTTAGTTAGTTCATTTAGTACCCAGGAGCAGAGAAGAAGATTTTCAAAGAAATAATGCATTTTCACTATATGATCTATATAGCCCCGCCCTAGCACCAGAACCCCTGACCCTGGGGTCATGAATTTCACAAATTTGGTAGAGGACTCAATGCTTATTACAATGATGCCAACAGTTTGACTGCTTGATGTCCAGGAGTAAAGAAGAAGATTTTTAAAGATTGCATTAATTTTGGTGGTTTTAGCCCCACCCCTCAGGCCCCAGGGGGGCAGGGACCATGAAATTCACAATTTTTGTTCCCCTTCACCCATAGATGCTATATGCCAAATTTAGTTGAAATTGGTTGAGCGGTTTCAGAGAAGAAGCTAAAAATGTTCAAATGTTAACGCACATCGCACGACGCACGCCGACAGACAAAAACGGATAGCAATAGGTCACCTGAGTGACTCAGGTGACCTAAAAAGGGAGCCCTTGGGCCAAGGATACCCTGTGACAAATTTGACAATAATTGGCCAAGGGGTTCTTGAGATATGGCCCATATTCTAACAAGAGGCCCAAGGTCCTTAACGGTCACCTGAGTATAATACAACAATTTAGAAGTTTAATACACTGACAGATGACGCTTTGTTGCCCTAAAGCAAGAGAAGTAGGAAGATCAGGATCAACAAAATAATTAGTCTAGTATTCAGTATCAACTCATAACTTAAGTTCTAATCTGTCCCCCACTTAATATTATCACCATGCAGACTATTAACAAACTATTAGTGCTTCTGTACTATTTTTAAACCCATATTAAGGAGGTTGGATCCTGCCATCAAAAGTAATGAGAATTTTTTATCAAGTATATTTTTAGAATTTATACACATAGCTTTATTAAAAATCAAAACAAAAAATGGGGG